TAAGCCATTATGGAGAAATGCTGATTTGAAAAGATAGAACGGTACTTACAGGCATATAAAAGGCTCCTCCAGAAAAGTTTGATTGACCTGAAGCTTTGGCCTTCCTTTCTTGTTCCTAGAGATGATTAAAACATTAGTCTTTCAATCATTTCTTATATAGGAACACAGATATACAGTTAAGTAAAAGAAATAATAAAAATTTACTCCATTTTTGAAAAAAAAATAACATTTAACACACATTTTTTTGTCTGTTTAAATACTCTTTTGTGCAGGTGCCTTCTCTGACTCTTTCCATATACATGGCACCCACTAAAATGAATAAGGAGGAAGCATTGTATTTGAAAGGAAAAAGTAAAAAAGAACTTCACTGATTGACGAAGGAACAGCTATAGTTATCATGAGCCAGTATAGATTGACTAGATAACACTCCCCAACTAAATTCGTTCAACCAAAACTTATGGGTGAAAGTATGAAGCAATGAAGCTAGTTATAAAATAAACACTAATACCCTTTATTTAATGACACCATGTCAAATTTACTCTATAACAAAAAGAAAGAAAAGAAGAAAATGAAAAGGAAAAAAAAAACCATATAAAAGATAATGAAGCAGTTAAATAAAATTTAATGGATTGCTACAATGCTATCTGTCACAGCTTTATAATAGACAGAAAAAAATGAGGCAAATAGCCTTATTTACGGCTTAATAAAATGTCTTCACAATACTCTCCTTGGATTCAACCAGCTTTCCTCTATTGCCACCCACCATGTTCGCTGCGTCATTTAATTACAAGCATGCAACCAAATAATGCTACCAGGAGAAAGCGAGCAGCAACTACTTTCAATACCAGTGACCACATTAACTAACCATTACAAGATTTACTTGATCTATTATACCAATGTAATCAACAAAGCATTATGAAAAACACTAAATAAGCCCCCCTCTAACCAATAAAAGAAGAATAAAGCTAAACTGTATTAAAAATATAATCAATCAACATATACATTAGCTTACTAAATCATGAATCACAGTAAATTAACACTTCTATTAATGGCAACTAGAACGATCGAAGGGGAAAGATAGAGAGGGGGGAAGATGGAACTCCAATTTCCATCCAAATCTCCCCGAAGTTGAATCCCTCCCTCTGCCCCCCCCCCAACCCCACGCACACAAACACACCTTGTCCCAAGCTCTTATATAGAAAAGGGAGCTTGTTTCCCTTCTTTTCCCTTCTCTCTCATTTCAATCATTTCCTCTTATCAAACAAAGTGTAGCAGCAAAGCTTGTTTCCAACATCAGCGGACGGTTCAATTTATAAAAAGATAATTTTTTTATAGTAACCATTAAAGTCAAATTAAACTTTACCTTTCCTATACCAACATTATTAGTCATATCACTAATTTACTATAATCGTAGAAATTTTAACTAGGCATCCTATGCTCAAAACAAATCATAACGTACCCCTACATTTTTTTTTAAATGCCTGAGAAACCAGACCAAATACAACCACACGATAATAATCACACCCATTTCAAAGTAGCCACATTTCCCCAAATCACCATAAACAGTTCCAGGAGCCTAAACGACCACCAAAGTCATCCGAACACAAGACACGAGAATCAATCATCCGTGTGGAATGCCGACATGGATCCGAAGATAGGCCGGCTAAAATACCATAAACTACCATCAATCCATGGTCCAACCAACACTTCTACAGCGTGGTTGCATATTGCATCAAAATGTTCAATGATTGTTTTGAGATCGATCACTAATCAACATATTACAAACAATAACGATACCCCATCCAAACATCAAAAATTCACATACATTACCTAATTGTGAACATAAAGTTCACATTTTTAAGGGAATCAACGCGAATTACTCACTTCACCGATTTCAACTGAAGTAAGAACAACAAAAAGCTGACCCTAGATCTAATAAATCTCGATACCCAAGAACCAAAAAAAAAACCCCAAAATCAAATATTACCTAAAAATTCAATCAATCAAAAGAGAAACTACCCTTTTAGCGGCAATCAAACTAAACCCAAATTAAAAATCAAACAAATGCGAAAATTAAAAAGGCAAAAACGAAGATAAGGGTTTGTTATTTGTGAGTGATAAAAACTTACAGAGAAGGGATTGACTTCTTCTTCTTCAAAAGGGTTTGGATCGTAACGACCGGCCATTTTTGAGATCTTCAAAATGAAAGCAAAATCTGAGGAATAAAAACCCCAATCTCAAATAATCAACAGAATTTTAGAGAGAGAATGAATTGAAGAGAAAGCAAAGGAAAAAATAAAGGGTGGTTTTGTTGAACAAGGAAATTTAACCAAATTTTGACGAGAGGAGGTATATTGTATATTTGGTCAGCGTTATATTTTTAACAGGACTTTTCTGATACGACTCATACGATTGTGAATTTGTGATTTGTAAGTGTTTCTATTTTATTTTTTTGAAGAAATATTATACTCTCCCCGTTTTTAAATACGGAGTACTTGCTTCATTTCTCTATGTACGGATTTTTAGAAGAAATTGGAGAAAGTAAAAAATACTGCGTATCTAATATATAATTGCAGAGTCGTTTTCACCACAACCCTTCAAATCCCCAATCCTCAAATCTCATGCATTTGAGGTTTTTTTTTTTTTTTTAAATAACTATCATTCCATTACTTTATTTGTTTGTTTTTTAAACAAAAAAAAAATTGTATTTTTTTAAGGGATTGCAATAACTAATAATAACAATTCATTTTTTTCTTAAACACTATTAACATTTCACTTTGTGTTATTTTCTTTTGTGTATAATATGTGTCATGTATTAGCACGGATGCACGGATTTACAGTTCATTTATCAACAATTCACTATAGAACTCAAAATCCCCAACCGTTCAATTCAAACAACTTCCACTTCTCTAATAATCAAAATAAAAATATGTACAACACGCTTTTTGCGTAATTGGCCTCATCAAATAGTTGCTTGCAAAAGAACAAAGTAACCCCTCCTATAGCACTGATGGAATAACCCCTATGACACTAACCGAATAACCCATATGACACTAACCGAATAACCCCTATAACACTGAACGAGTAACTCTACAGCTTTGAAAAAGTAACCCCCATAATAGCTTGACACATTTGCATGGCCACCTACATATAAGAGTTAGGTTTTGTTCTTTCGAGTTTATGAGCAGAATAGAGCACATCAGATTGCAAAAGAGTAGAGCATGTGACAATAGAGTAGAGCAGAGCTCAACAAAGTATGATTTTAGCAGAGTAGAGCAAGAGCAGACCATAAATAGTTCAAAATAACAGGTCATAAGTTACTACATCTAAATCAACCCCGTATTTGAAATATATTTTTTCTTATATTATAAAATTAAAATCTTTCTAATCTAATATATATCCCGTGCATTTTGCACGGGTGTACACTCTAGTGGTAATAATGGGATAGTTGAAAGGATTAAAAATTGTAAAAAAAACAAAAGTAGTTGAGAGAATTGGAAGAGAGAAAATATATAATTACTCGTGATAAAATATGATTTATGTTGTATCCCGTAGTTGAGAGAAATGAATTAGATAATGTAAAAGTTTTCCAATTAAAGAAATGGAACAAGCATTTAAAAACGGTTGAAAAATGAAAAGTGGAGCAAGAACAAATGAAAATTGAAAATTTACCAAAATTTATACAGTAAGAAATTTTATGTTACCAACAAAACTAGTTTATTTTGCTTTTCTCGTGTCTTTGTGAATTGCTATGTTGTCACACTTTCTCCTCTTTGTTATGTTATGTTATTTACTTTTTTCCAAAAAAATTTCATAATATCCAGATTCAATTTCACGTTATATGATTATACCGAGTATGATTTTTTAGGGATAAAAATCAGTCTAAATGGTTTGTGAACTTTTGTAGTTAGCTCGAAATTTTCAAGAGTTAAGCAAAACAAACAGCTCATGTATAAGCTCGAAATTTTCAAAAGTTAAGCAAAACAAACAACTCATGTATAAGCTTAAAATTTGCCCTTTTGTAATGTTAAAATAGTGTAATTCGTCATACATATATTGCGCAAATAAATCATAGTTTATAAAATATTTGTAGTATATAAATTGCATTATTTGAAAGAAAATGGTAGTGCTTGTGAACAACTTTGATTTTAAAGCGGTGCAGCCCAAAAAGTAAAAATAGGAGGCGTACGAAGATTTGCTTTGGCCTTTAATAGTTTGATGCGCTTCTAGAATACTCTAGAAATAGAAACCGCTTTCAAAGAAACTTATTTATTTCTATTAAGGAACTATTTTTCATTTCCACATTCCACCTTTTGTCTAAAAATAAGCAACCATTATCACCTTTTATTAATTAGTACTTCCTCCGTTTTGTTAATATTGCAACAAAGAGGAAATTACGCATCCCAAAACACATTTTATATGCTAAATATGTATAATTGTGTAACAGTAAAAATTGTAAAAAGTTGATATTGTGAAAGTATTATATGAAACGAATCCAACAAGATCTCACTTGACTATATTTTGCTTAACGTATAACTCATATTACATGGTCAAACAAGAGTAATGAATAATGTAAAAAGTCCATTGTTACAATATTAATAGAACGGAGGAAGTATAACCGGTATTCGGATACGAACTATAGGCACATCTTGCCAAGGATAGTGATCTAGTGATGGTTGTTAGTTTGTTACAAGTCTTACTACTTATAGGTAGCAGCAGGTGTAACAAATTCAACAATAGCAAGGTATTAGTGTCAGCAACAGCTTTAGCATGTCAGCAACTAGCTATAAAACTTGTACTAATAATAGTTAGAATCAGTCGCTTGTTTGTTTAGTATGATAGCTTCATTCAATTCGGTAATACACAACAGCTTTATGAATACTCAATCTATAATTTTATACAACAAGAATCGATAAAATTCCCTGAGCTGACAAAAGATCAGCAAGGAATTCAGAATCAGATAATTCAAACACCGATGACCGATCTTCCAGCTCCTCGCGTACATTAAAATATAGCAACCATTTTCCATATATCAAAAGAACCAAGGTAAGGAGTGAAATGAATGTTCAGTCTATCATATACAAACAGGCAAGTAAAAAAATGAATTAATTGATGTGGTCCTGTAAATAGACAGCACCAGCATTACAAGAAAGAAATATGTAAGCTATAACAAAATAAGCGATTCTAAGAGCACATGAACCTCTAAGTTCCTAGGTGAATTCCCGGAAACATCTATAGCACTATGTTGAAAATTGTTATTCACAGTCGATATAAACATCTCGTTACCAACTTCTTTTCCCTCGTGTTTTTCTAGTTCTAGAGAACAAATTAAACCAGCTATTTGTTGAATATGGATCCACCCAACTACTATCCTTCTTGACAGCTCTCTCCCATCGTTCTTTAAATACTTTAAGCTCAGAAGTTGATTGCCTGCGAATCTGCTCCATTCACAAAATGTAAGAATGTTATTCTCTAGTGCATCCCAGTTACCACATTTGTTACTTTATAGAGAGATAGCTGAGCCTTTAAGAGTGCTCCAATTCACTCGAAATCTGAAGCCCGCATCATTCCCCTACCCCAAACTCCCATATAAATAGGCTAAAGAACTCAAAAACAAAATCAAGTATATGTTTCCGTAAAGTAATAACAATTACCTCCACACGAGAATCAACGCCTGAATGTTTCTGCTTTATCACCTCCACATGACTATCAACGCCCAAGTGTTTCTGCTTCATAAGGAACAAAAGAAAGATTATTTAGCTATTACAAGCATAAATGACAAGCAGCGAGTTGGACAGCCAGAAAGTTAATTACCTTTGTGGTGTCTAATGACTTTGAAACCTGCGTGAAGATTGTCAAATGTCAATACAACCAAGAAAAATGTATGGACCATGTATTCAAGAAAAGACCAGCCAATCTCAAATACGAGTTCTCACAAAAAGCATGAGAAAAAATTTGAGGAGTTTGTTTTGTTGGCCCAACCATAATGGTGATACATGTGGAGCTAGCCTTATTGTAGAACTCCAATTCATAACACACAGGTCATTCATAGAGCACAATATAAATTTGAGCAAACCTTTTTAGCCGATGAACCACCGAGAGTTTGTATGCCTTGATGAACAACATATTCACTATCAATTATGCCCACCCTCTTTGTCCTATCACCCTGTCAATTGTGAACGAATTTAAAGAATAAGGGTTGTAGAACAATAGAAAAGATGATGAGCAGAGAATTAGAACTTGAGGTATGAGGATATAACTATATCAAGTTAAATTTTAAAAAAAAAAAAATTCACCAACATTAACATTAACAGGGATAACTTGAAAGCAGGGTTTCAGACTGAAAGCTAAATAACTTCAATGACATCAACAATCATGTAGCATGGATTCTGCCGAAGTGGGGTAAAAATGTATTATGTATGCAAGCCTTTTAAGTAAGACTCGCTGATAGGCTGTTTCTAAAAGAAGACAACATAATTATTTTCCAGAAAAGGGATCGTGTAGAAATAAAAAGTCTCATTTGCAGTAGCAGTAAAATGGAGAGAGGGGCGTAACAGTTTAGGCAAAAATATAGAGGTCCATAAGCAGGATCAGTTCCTCACCTGTGCACAATAACCAAGCTTCATGTCCAATCCCCAGCCATGAACAAGATCATTCTGAAACAAGGCAGAAAACCATTTGTCATGATATGCATCAGCTTGAACTTATTGAGGGGGTCATAACAATAGAACTTGGGTCAACCTTTATCGAGGGCAATAAGATAAGAGTTAACGTTAAATTTGTGATTCCCCTCTATAGGTACCTTCTGCAATTTATGATAGATTGGTGAAAGGCAATCAACTAAACAATTACTACCTCTGAGTTTGCACAGACTCCAATGCAAAATTTGTTTACGGGCGTTAAATGCATAGAGAGAAAGATAGCAATCCATGTGATGGATGAGGAGAGAGAGAGAGAAATGACACCTTAAAAAGGAAAGAAAACATTCTTTGCACATAATGTGTAGCAGCTGTTTTTAGTAAATTTTGCACATAATATGAAATGGAGGTAGTATTATCTACTCAAAATCATAGATTAGATATACACTAGAGTTTCAGTTTCACCACAGCACTAATTCAAGTTAGCATGTAGTACAAGTAGACAATTCTTATACCCTTCAAGTTGCAATATATGTATACCTGTATAAGATGCCAAGTACAACGCCAAGCTGACCTCGAAAATACAGGGGCCATGCCTTCCACCCACCTACAGACCAGATAATAATCGAAAAGATGAGGTTGCTAAACCACACAAGAAAATTGACACTGAACTATAAGCAACAGACTACTACTGTCAACAGTAAGAAACCACAATTACTGTCAACATTTATTTGAACCACATGAATAAAAAATGGTAATCACTTTAGTCATGACTCATGAACTCATGGTACACAATGAACAGCAACATTTCAGCCATAGCAATGATCAACCCAAAATCTTCAACATTTCACCAATTGCCTCAGTCCACCCCCAAAAAGTTCTCTTTAAAAAGCCCTGGCATTACACAAAAGCAAATCTGTATGTTCCCTACCCCCTAGGCCTCTACCCCTACACAATTCATGTCATTGTTATCTGCACTGTATTTCTTAATACAGTTGATATATCACCACTAACTGACAACTTCACAAGCATATGATTAAGTCCCTAAACTCCCTACAGCATCATTTCATACATTATTTTTCTTCCAACCAAAAAGTATTAATCTAAATATCATTAAAGCTTGGCTAATACTATGATGGTAGCCCAGCAAAATATATAACAATGCCTCCTACATGGCTTTGAAAGTTCATGAAAACCTCAACATCCAATTTTTCCCAAATTAAAAATTTTGCACACCATGTTAAATTCTTTCCATCCATTTTCCTGTTCAAATTAAAAAGGTAAACAAGCTATTCCAAATTTTACAAGGTGGCAAGGAAACAAGCAGAAAATATAAATTTAAAGCATAGCAAACCCAAAGATTGAACTAGGTGTGTATAGTATTCTTGAAATTTGCATACACTTACCCAGTGCAAGGTGGCCCCATGCTAGAACTTGTACATTTTGTAAAACCCCTATAATCATAAATTCTCCTGCATAAAGAGGCAGAGGAATTCAACAAAAAGCTAACCTACTCTAATAGATCAGAGAAATGGAAACATAGATCAGCCCAGTTACCTATGGAACCTCTTTGTTTTTTTACGAATCGTAATACGATGATGTATTTCAGTCGAGTTGGGGTCCAAAGCTGGCTGAGATATCTCGAACCTCTCAGCTTTCACAATATTCAAGTACCTATGGCAAAATAGGAAAAAGGTTTTACAACTTTTACAGAGTAGCAAAGGGATAGTATACCTTTCAATTACAAGCAAATACATCCCCTTCTCCCCAGGTCAAGCTTCCAAAAATATGGCGCGAAGAGCATATTAAAAGAAACCCAATGCATTATAGCTAGGATTTCTTATAACATTACAAGTATAATGCAAAAACATCAAAATTCCTTCTGCTTTTTGGATTACAATCAGAAATAGTTTGTCTTATAGAAACTAGTTGCCAAAAGAAGTCCTAAGTACTACTGGTGTCATAAGTAAATTAGCATACCTTCCAGGATGAAAGTGTCGCACTCCTAGGTCTTCATCCCAGAGAAATATGTAGTCATAGATAGAAACAATGTCTGGATGTAGAAAGCGTTTGGCAAACCACCTAAATACAACCATTGAACAATAATTATACAAAGTAAGGACCATTACCCCCACACAAAATCTAAGAAAAGGAGAGCAATATTAGTAGAAAATGTGACAGGAGTAAAATTAATCTGTAGCATATGAAGCCCACATCTGAATACCATTTTTAAAAAACCAAACGATATATTGACTATAGCGTTCATCACCACGACTATAACTGACTTCCTTCCACCAACCATCTTGGCACAAAAAATACAATAACATTCAACATAATCTCATATGAAGTTTTTTAAATCATTAACACCATCACTGACCCCTTCTAAGCTCATGTAATAAACAAGATTAACTACCCACCTCTCTGCCAGTCTAATTAAAAAACAAGGAAGCGGAACTCAACTCAAAATTGCAATACCAAGCAGAATCACAGCACATGTAAAATGACAGGATACCAAATCAAAATCATGCTACATCTGGCAAAAAGTAATAAATACACAGTAGTGATATCTGAAAGCAAGGTATGGAGTTTGAGGAAGACAGATATTGGAGCCCTTACCACTTTGTTTGATTCTGTGCAGCCACGTGAATAGCCTTGTTACTCCAATCTAAATCCCACCAGCTGTTCATGTTGCCATCGTAATGAAATAGCATAATTGTAAAATTTTCTGCAAGAAACTGAAGTAAAAAAGGTAAGCCTGGACAAAAGTAAAAGAAATATAATATGTCTATTGATTTTAATCAATGGTAGATGACTATTTACCTTCTGAACTATAGAGTCAACATTATGCTTTTGTTTAATACCAGCAGCAATTGCTAGCAAGTTATGAGAGCTGGAATCATCAACCTAGAAAAACAAACATCAATCAGATGAGCAAAATTTATGTTGGTAGAATACTTCTGCTCTTTATTGATGCCACATTCAAAAGAAGGAACTGCAGTTCCAGATTGTTAAAAAGAGGTCAAACTTTGCTAGCTAGCAACTTAGCTTCCAGGAAAAATAGGGGGAGGGGGGGGGGGGGAGGAAGAGAACAAAGAGCAAAGAGCATAAGAAACATGAAGAAAACACAGGCTGGTAAAAGTTAATACTACGTAGTAGCTCAATGAAATGTAGTTTTTTTTTTTCTTTTTTCTTTGGTAATATACACAAAGCCAGCTGTCTCATTGAGAGGTGCACAAGAAACTAATTCTGACCTTTTCCCTTGAATGAGACCACAAAGGCTTCAACTCCAGATCTGATCTTGCTTGAACAATGCCTTTAGGCAAATTATCCAACTCTAATGTCCTTAAATTCTACAATAACCAAAATATTATATATATAAAAATATGTATTTACACAATAGAAAAAGAAAAACAACAGCTCAAAATCATTCTAGAGATGCAAAAACCCATCAAATTACCTCTGTGTTACCAAATGGATGCCTTTCAGCATCAATCTGAAAAGACAAAAACAAAGAAAGAGATCAAATTTAGCATACAGCAGGCATAGTTCCAAATCCCTTCCATTATCAAGAAAATTTGTAGAAAACCCAATGGCAATAGGTACTAAATGATGATAGCCAAATGCTTCAAGATAATTTAACAACGAACAAAATCTACAAGAGATGAGAACAGATTATTTAAAGTAAAACAAGGAAATTTGTAACATTGCACCTCTGTCTGGTGATACTGGTAACTTGTAGTTCTGTACACAATGAACATCATCGCTATACATACAAATGCCATGAAAGCTAGTTGTCCCATCCTGAATCCATGTGCTCCATGTGGTCCCTACAGGAGCAAAGTTCAAGTTAAAATTCTAAGATCTGAATTTCAAAGTTTACAGCTACTCTGAAAAAAAAAAAAAAAGAGTTCATGGTGCAAACTTTACCCCATCAGACAGGGCAGACTTCTTTCTAGGTAACCATCTCCATGATTTAAATGTCTTCATAGACATTCAAGTTTACCCTAGCTTCTTCTCATAACAAACTGCAGCGAAGAATGAATAAGAAATTATTGTCCTAAGATATTCACAGCATGCACCTGAATGGCTGAAACTACCACTTCTTCCATCCCTTATTTTTCTAATTAAGAGTGAGGAAAGGAGGTTGCAACAAACTTGTAATATCTAATTCCATTTGTTTACTTCACATAAAAGATTACTAATCAAGGAAAACTTCGTGAAAATACGAAAACAAAAATAAATACATGTAAACAAAATACAACCATTTTTAATATTCTTGACTGATTAGGGAGAAGGATGTGACTTCTGAACATCTCAAGGTGCCAATAACGCAAGATACATAACTGTTATAATCAATTTGTCACGCCTTGAAATCACAAGTTTACAGAAGGTAAACAGCTAAGTTGAAGGCGAAACGACTTAGATCGAAAACATGAATATCAGCAGCAAGAGCAAAGTAAACAGAATTCACATTTATTTTTGCAGAAATCACACAACACTTGTGACAAACTCCAGTGATTAAAAAGCCAATAAATTTGAAGGGTAAATCTAATGAGAAAGCAACATAGATTTCTACTGAATTGGCAAATATCTTAAACCCTCAAGAAACCACCAATCTAAAAACAGCAAACACCTACTACACGAATCATAGGATAAACACATGCATAGCATTACACTTTAATTAGTAGCAGTTACATCTACAGCTCAAAACTGCAGACGCCACCTAAATTAATTAGTTAGCGTGTTTCGTATCCCAGATCAAATCCCGTCTACATCACTCCCTTCGCCAAGACTCCTATAACCCGTAAACTAAAAATATGTTATGTTTCTTAATTCGGTGAAAACTTAAGAGAGTGATAATCCTACCAAAAACCCCAAAAAATGCAAAATAATATTCAAAACCCACCAAATACGTTAACCTACAAATCCAATTAATTTCAATTTTCACCAAATTATAACCAACTCAATAGTAAATTGATAATGATAATTCTATTTCTATACACCTCACCACCTACTTATTAATCAAATTAGTTGCCCACTAACACGAAATAAATCTTAATTGCTATAATTACGAACCATACTCTTGTCCACTTTTTTTAATAATAAAATCCCACTTTAAGTTAGGTAAACTAATTTTATTTAATTCCAAAAAATAATTTATATGTTCCGCCGCATTATTATATTTCAAATTACGAAATATGAATTACAATTAATCACACGAAAATACAAAAATTAATGCGAAGAATCATTAATTACATTAAATCAACAAAACTCAGAAACATGGATCTTTTAGATTTAATGCATGGAATAAAATCAAGCTTTAAAAAAAAATCGAGATCAAAATCAGAAACAAATCACACAAAAATTGAAATAACAATGACAATTGAAATACCTGAAGATTCTTCTAGAAGAACAATAACAACAAACAATGACGACAACAATAACAACAATTGGTTAGATTTGAAAATTGGATTGAAGTGCAACAACCGACTGAACGAATGAAGTAACGAGTCGACTCAGTGAGTGACGAAACGATTCAAGCGAGTGAGTTGGAAAAGAGAGACTGAATTTGAGGAGAGAAGAAGAAGAAGAAGAAGAAGTGGTGAAAAAATTCAAGATGTTTTTTTTTTTTTTTTTTTTTGTGAGTGAATATTTTTGTAATTAGTCACTCTAGAAAGGAATGAATAGCATGAAATAAGCTGTTTATGTTGTGGTTTTCTCTCTCTTCCAGATTGTTAGCTTTGTTAATTTTGCTATTTTTGGATTTGTTTAAGTGGCCTTTATAGGGATTTTTTTAAAACATTTTCTGAGGAAAATAGACTAATGTTGTTGTTGGGCTTGTTGTTTAAGGGGGAAATTCGGGTAATTGGGTCTGGTTCAATAAGGTCAAATCTAATCTAATTTTATCTACTACCTCCGGTCCAAATTACTCGCAACTTTGGAATATTTTATATTTCACAAATAATATCCTAAAGTTGCGAGTAATTTGGACCGGAGGTAGTAATTTATACTCCCTACGTCCCCGAAAGAATGACCCATTTGGATTGATTTCGCGGGTATTAAGAAAGTTAAATAAAAAGAAGTAAAAGTATATTGGAAAGATAAATTTACATGGGATTTGTAAAAAAGTAGAGAGAAAAAGTAATAAAAGTACATAGAGAAACAAAATTTTATATGTGGAAGCTAATTTTACACAAATATTATTGCAAATTGGTGGGGATTTTAATGCAAATGGGTCATTCTTTTTGGGACTAAAATTAGGCTAAATGGGTCGTTCTTTCGGGGACGGAGGGAGTAAGAGTTTTTAATAAATTTTCATTTTATTAATTTCCTAAATTTTAGTGGTAACAAATTAAATATGATATTATTAATTTCTGTTAGAATTAAATATTCTAAATGATACATAGGCAAAATTGGCGAATGAGAATTCTCATTTTAAATTAATTAAACATAAAATATTATCTTTTGATATCACGAATTTTATCTAAATATATAACAAATTTTATTATATATATATATATATTAAAAAAAATTATTTTAAAATTTCAAACAAACCGTGCATCACACCGGCTTCATCTAGTATGATTTTAAACTTAAGACGTGTTAAATGATTTTGTTCATACAAATTGGAATTTGAATTAGGTTAATTTGGCTCGGTTTTGAATTGTGTTGCCTTTTTTCAACTCTATTAGTTTAACTTGTCTTGGTTTGTAGACTTTGTACTGATGGAGTTAATGTTGAGTTTGGGTGCGGGTTATTTTTGAATTGTGTGATTTTGGCTTGAATATGATTACTACGGAGTAATTTTTTTAATTGCTTTAATAGTTCATATGATGTATGAAAATTTATGAACCAGTGTATGCATACTTACTTGTTTGGTAAACAATTACTTTTGGTTAACATTCTAAAAATTCTATAATGGCTTTACCGACAGGTTGATCTGAAAAGCTAGCTTTTACGACTAAATGCTATTTGGAACAGTTTTTTTTTTTTTTTTTTTTGGTATGCACTTATAAGTTGTTAATAACATCCAACAAACATTTTTATATCAGACGTGTTTTAACAAACTAGAAAGTCAAAACGATACAATGTAAAAGTCAATACATGTAAGTATACAACTGATCAAATCAACCGACAACCAACAACTAATTACCAAATTAGACCTCACTGGAGCTATACCAAAATTAGTCACTTATTTTTGAATTTAACCAAATAATGATTTTAAGGTCAAAAAAGAAAGCCATGTAAAATCCAAAAAAATTATAATTGAAGGGTTTGTTTGTATTGTAAAAGTTCTAAAAATCTTGTCTTATTCCACTTCATTGAGAAATCCAAATGTTTTTTGGATTGATTGAGTTAAAAAAATTCTGAATTATCCAGGTTTGAAAAAAGGTGGCAATACCCATTTACAAAGTAATATGCTCGGTGGTGTTGGATAAATTATAAAGTACTTCGTATTTATCAATGGTAGTATGAAACAAATTTGCTACAAGAGTCCTTGAAAATTAGTCTTGAATGAATATAAGGAAAATTGAGGTTAATTATGAAAGTGATTTTTAACTAATACTCCGTTTTACTTTTGTATTATTATCTTTAAGTAATCAAGAGAATTAGTGAAGAGGGACAAAATGAGTTAGAGAAATATTCAAATATGATTAATGTGAGTTGTGACTAATTGTCAGGATAACTAAGAAAAATTATGTATGTAGGATATGTAATATAAGTATACTGTATAAAAAAAGTATACTGTATATGATTAAGCTATCTACTCCAACTATAATCAAACTTAAAATGCAACTTTTTATAACTAGTATGGATATCAAACTAGATGTGAATTGTGTTTATAAAGTTATAAATTTCAGAATTGCAACAACAGAAAGAAATGATAAGATTAAAGTTGACAAGCATATCACCAACAACCATATACTTCTATGTCAAATTTTGTAACATCAATTTTATTGCTTTATTTTATTTGTCTTTTATATTTGCTTCATGTAAATTCATATTATCGTTGAGAGTAAAGGCGTAAAGTATAGCTCAAGTGGCTCTCTAAATCTGAATATTCATAGTATCAATATACTTCGTATGAGTGGAGTACATGAATAATGTGTGTAGCATTATACGACTCTAAATATTACGTAGTATTAAAATTGATTATATACTTAATTATTGATTAACAATGACTACTTTTGTACCTAGTACTTTTGCAATATTTTATTAATGGGTTCAGAACATACTTTTATAGTTTAATACTTGTTAAAGTAAGATTACATAAATTAATCAAGGTTGGTGATAATATAATTAAATAAACAATGGGAAGATCAGCAAATAAGAAACTGCCATTTGATGTCCACCTTGAAATCTTTCCAAGCACCGCATGTGTCTCATATCGGTTACATAGTCTAATGACATTATATAATATGCTTTTTATACATTCTATATTCCCCTTAATTTGTGGAAGATAGTATAATATAATTAATCTAAATATATATTATAGTTATAATATTTAAGGCAAAAGCTAATGAGCGCCCTCGGGGCGTTAGATAAGAGAATTAAAGTACAAATATAAAAGTAAAATTAACATTAATTACACCGAACGACGCGTGATTTTGTCATGAATTCCTAACTTAATACCATTTCAACCAATATAATTTATCCTTATTTAACGCCCTGGGGCGCTCGTTAGCAATATCGTAATTATAATTGCTATTAAAACATAATGCTTGTATATTGATTGATGTAAATAAGGTCAATGTTGTTTGTACACAAAGATAACAGGTGTCGATTTGGCTAGTAAAAAAACAGCACATTTCATTGTAAAAGTAAGCTAAAAAACAAATTAAACTTCCTTTTTTTTGTCCAAAACTTGAAGAAACATACACATCTAGAGGAAATTTGTAATCTCAATAATCTAGAGTCTTAGACTTGAAATTTTGGTCAACAAGACTTTGCAATTCAATCCTCTACTCAAAATTAAATTAAATTTACCGTGTCACATAGCGAGTATAATTGTAGGTTATGTCGTAGTCATTGGGGTGTCAATTTGAATCATTTATAGGGTTTGTGTTGTGTCTAATTTACAGCCTGATTATTTTAGATTTGAGTCATATTAGACTATTATGTCCATATATGCATGTTAAATTCAATATTATTTTGGATTTTTTTTTTTCGAAGTTTTGCTAGATCTAGTTACATTTTGCTTAATAATTTCCAGCTTAATAAAACCTGTTATGCTTGGTTGAAATTGTTCCTACAAGTGGTGTATGTATGCTTGTAAGTTGTAATAATCCTTCGTTTTCGTTGTTAAAGTAAAACAACTTAATAAAAAGTGAGAGTAATTGTCCATTATGACGTTATTAATTAGTGGTTATAAAGTTGGAGTGTAGTTGTGTAATTGTCCTTTTAATGTATATTAAAGTTGTCATGAAAGTTTTTTTTTTTTTTTTTTCTCCAAAGTTGTGTAAAATTTCAAATCATTACTGTTTGGGTCCAATTTATCTAATTGGGCCTAGTCATGTATTTGGGTCCAATTATCTTATTGGGCTTGGTCACTAAATGACTTCATATTCCAAGGTCAAGGCCCGAGCCTCCAATCAAGCCAAGTCAACCAAGAGTCCTTTGGTCCGAATTGTCATGGTCAGCCCATGACTATTTAAAGGCCCAATTACTCTCCTCTCATCATGCGCAAAGGTATAAAAGCCTTCAATTCATTCATTCAAAAAAACAACACAACAAAGCCTCAAGCATTAAATCTCTTGCATAACTTTCTCTCTCTAAACACTGTTTGACTTCGGCATCGGAGGGGTCTTCCTCGGATCCACCCTGAGGTCAGTTTACGTGTTTTAGTTGTGCAGGAAACCTTTGGCCCAGCATCAATTGGACCGGACCAGTCTTCAGCCACTTCAGCGGGCCTTCGGCAAGGCCCCATTGTTTTCATCCGAAATAATTACTCGTAGCAAATTTTAGATTGAATTTCAGCTTCAGAATGTGCCAACAATTTCGGTATTTAATAAATCTCATGACTTGTATGCAGTGGCATGTAGAAATTTTAGTTTGAAGGGGCACTAAGAAAAAAAAAATTAATAAGAAAAATGCTTGTTTTAAGGATTGAACCTAAGGCAAGTGCATTACCAGTGAGACAAAGCTAGTTTAATATCATGTATTTCGTTGAAAACTGTATTTAACCTATTAAATTGCGCTTTATATAGATTAAAAATCTGATTTTGGTGGGGGTGTGACTCCGCCTTTGCTTGTGTGGTTATTTAACATACATATATCAATAATAATGAGAGTGAAGGATAGCTCAAGTGGTTAGAGCTCCCTTCTCGATTCCAGAAGATCATGGGATCGATTCACACCCCTGCCCTTGTGGCTACTGGGCAATTTCTTGTAAAAAAAAATAAAAATATAATGGGCAATTTGATATTTAAGGTCATTTATTTTAGATTTTATACAAACTAAAAGTCATAATTTAATTAAAATAAGTTTTTTTAGTAATTAAAATAAGTTTTTTTAGTAAGTGGTTTTGGAGGGAAAACTTTTTATAATATTTTGCCAAGTGTTCTCTAAGTTTAATTCGTCTTTAGTATAATGTAATTGATAAGTTTTAAGATACTCGCGCTGACAAGTAATAACTATATAAGTATATATTTTGTTTTTTTGAGGAAACGTTAGTGCTTTTATTAATCAAGATTTAAAACAACTTTGTCCGAAAGGACATACGGGGAAATCTCCCGAGGACAGTGATTTTCCCATATTTGTTTGACACTATTACCCCGTGCAAAATAGTATATATTTATTGAATAAGCATAATATGTAAAATATAAAAAAAATCCACTCGATTATTACACATATACACGAAAAAAGTTAGGGAGGGAAAGTGGGAGACAAATACGAAGTAGAAAGAATGGTGGATATGGGATTGATCCATCAACCAACGGAATGGCGAGGAGGAACATACTTCCTCCGTTTATTTTTAGTTGACACGTTTCTTTAGTCATGTTTGCCAATGCACAAATTAAATCATTAATATCTTTAATTACCGACAAACAAAAATTATAAAAAGTTGATACTTTGAAAATAAACATTGTGACGAATCTAACAAGATCCCACTCGACTATATTTTTCCTTACACATAAATCACAAAAACATGGTCAAAGGGAGGTATGTGAATAATGCTAAAGTCAAAATGTGTCAACTAATAAAAAACGGAGGTAATATTACATAAGATTATAAAGAAATAATTGGATCTTATATTCTTGTGTGCTAAGAATTGCATCAAGTACGAGTAATTGACATTACAACAAAGGTGTTTACTCAATAGTTAATACGGCCACTAAATTAATAAAATTATCGTCCTTCACTCCGAATCCTACTCCTACTCACCACCTTCCAACCACCAGCCATTAGACACACTATGTGTACACTAAACACCACTCCATTACTCCAATAAACAATAACCATCAATTAACACATAAAAATAATCAGAGCATTCACTCCCAAATTCACGTACAACGTTAGATGCATTCCTAATTAGATGCGTTCCTAATCAAGCATACATGTCATGTATCACCCCACTTTTCAATTATAAAGTTGTCATGTCATTCAATGAGAAATACTTCCTTTGTTCTCTAGAGACAGTCATGTTTTGTGGTTTTACATAGTTAATAATAAGGAAAATAAGATAGTGAAAATCAATGATTACATGTCACATACTCCTTCAGTCTCCAATTGTTTGCCCCAAACCATAAATCCATTTTATTAAGGCTTTGGGCAAAAAAGAGTGCACATGGGTTGGCACAAATATCAACGAGGAGAGAGATAGAGAGAGTGTATGTGGGAAAACACGCCAAAAGTAGTATGAGACAATCTTTTGGGGACACCCTAAAAAGAAAAGTGGAGCAAACAATTAGGGACAGAGGGAGTATATATCAAGTAGTCTTTTACTTGTAATCTTGAAAAAGTAATTAAAGTATTAAAATAGTGTGTGGCATCTGGCATGATTGATGTTTTATATTGTTACTTTAATTTCATAGTGTATTAGTTTACTAGTTCCAAAATATAAACTATATAATGGAAATTAACAGATATTAGAAACAATTTTTTTTTTTTAAAAAAAAATAGACACAAATGCGAACGCACAAAATGAACACCCCCAATCCAAGTTACTAGTAGATAGCTCAAACGATACAAGTTCAAATTTTTTTCTTGTTGGTCTCAAATTCAAAGTTGCATTCTTAGAACAATGACCCAAAACCTAATGATTTACTACCTCCATTACAGGTTATGTGCAACGATTAGACATTTTTCCTCTCTGTTTTATGTTAAATCGTTGCACATAGCCTGTAACGGAGGTAGTAATTCAAATCAACACTCCATATCATTCAAGTGCAAAATTATACCGTAACAAGTACGAAATAATCCATAATAATGTACTCCCTCCATCCCTTAATTAGATAGCTAATTCTCTTTAATATTATGTGTGCAATAAATGCTAGAAATAAGCATCTAATAAAAGGATGGAGAAAGGGCTCAAGGCCTCCGAGTAACCGTGTAAATGTACTCCGTATTAGTTTAGCAATTTAAGGCATTAAAATCGTGGTACATCATATTAATTTGCTGAATCCCAATAAAACACCCCAAAATTTGCAATACCCAATAAGCAATACATACATTCCCCATAAGCAATTTAAGCTACTCTAACAATCAAACAGAACATTGAATTTCATTACATTAAATTTTTATATCAGAACACAAAATAGTTTATTTCTTTATTTTATTTTTTTAGGAAAATTTGTTATTATTAATCCCAACTCTAAACGATTTATTTTCATTAATCCCAACTTTGGGGGCATTTTCTTTCATCAGGCCCAAACCGGTCAACAACAGTCAATAACCTGTTATACCAAGTTATTGGACACGTGTCAACATGGAGCCCTTAAAAAAAAAGTTACCTTTTTATCAGGTCACCGATTATTTAGGAATAATCGATAGTTGGGATTAATAAAAATAAATGGTCCAAAGTTGGGATTAATATAACAAAATTTCCTTTTTTTTTTTTTTTTTTTTTTTAAGTTTAGACTGTGGTAAAACAATTGGAATTTCCAACGTTCAAGAACCATTAGTTAAAACGAAGCTATGCTTTGATATTAGTAGTACATTGCTTCTACGCACTTCTCATGCTGCTGACTGATGTTGTGCATTGGGCGTTGGACTACGTAGTCCATGGTACGTATGTAAGAATTTTTCGTGTTTAGTAATTTCAACGACTGTAACAAACAATGATCTAAATGTCTCATTTTCTTGTCAACGATGTTTTTAGACATTAAATTTGTTATCACATTTTTAAAAACATTGTTTTTAAATATCGTGTTGTATTGTTTAAATAATTATATATATGATCGTAAAGAAAACCAAAAAGATTTTTAAACTAGAGTTGATTGTAAGATATGTATTCATAGTCATATTTACACAATTTTCTTATACTTTTGTCAAATTTGGTAGACCAAAAGATTAGAAAATTTATATGGAACCCCATTTTAATGTGTCTTCAAAGGTGAAATGATAATCTAAATCCTGCACATATGAATAGGTAGAAATTTTGAATTATATTTCACCAGTTTTCCTTTATTTTCTTCATCATAAGGCTATGTAACCCGAACTGTTTCCTTGCAGTAAATTCATTCGTTGTATGTTAAGGATGTACTCTATGACGGACTGCATGTCTCACAATCCCTGTACCAGTAAAAGGAGAAACACAATGAATCTACCATAACTATTGCTCTTATCATAAGGCTGTACATCTTTTGGTTAGTTAGTCGTTTACAACTACAAAAGGAGGGATCGTTTGCAACAAAAGTTGAGTTAAGGTGAGAACTAACACTGAGCACAGAGGATAGGGGAAGTTAGGAGGGCGAGAAGAAAAAAAAAGCTATGTTCCTACATACTTTCTAGCCCGTCTACTTGACTCTAGCTCTCTTTCTCACCTTCATGGGAGTTTCAGCTTGTATACCAGCATTACCCCGTCTAACACGCCCAACTTTCCCTCGCTTTCCCTGAATTTTCTTTGTTAAAGCAGCTGATTCTGCAGAGGATGGTGAACCCACAATGCCAGGAGGTTGACCAGACACTTTGCGAGCAACAACAATAGACGTACCCTGAGCATTATTTACCGCAATCACTGGCTGGTTCAAAATCTTGCTGTTGAAGGGCCGAGCACTTCTTGGTTTTGCTGTTGGTTTGTGCATTGGTGTATTCGGAGTTTCTGCAGCACCAAACTTGTTGCCGGTCACTTTATAATGTTGATGTAACGTCTTAGTAACTAGGTCTCTAAATACTAATGCACATTTGTATTCTCTTGTACACTTGGAGTAGAAAACTAGAGCGTTGTTGGCAAGAAGCAACAAGTCCCGCAGAAGTTCAATTATTGATGTGATGCTTTTGTTGGCGATTCTTGATCTGATTGTGTCAAGATCCATGTGCTGTCGTATGATCCTCTTATATCTAGCTCTCTTCTGCAACGACAAAACAGATTAACAATTGCAGAATCAGCAACATGGCTCAAAACTTCAGAAGTAGTCATTTAAAGAAAAAAAAAATGGACTAAAAAATAATCCTAGCTCTTAGAAGCAGAAGTCTGATGCAATAGTGATGCGACTCCATCCCTAATTATCTGTTAATATTTAGTAAACTTGAATCATCAGCTACTTCGTATAAGATACTAGCAATGAAAATTTGCATAGTACATATTGGGAGTTGGGTTACACTACCATGGAAGTTGTTATGGAACTTGCAAAATTACACAAATGCATTACCATTATCCTCTTATATTATTACTTATCATATGAGCTGAGTGCAAGGTGAATAACAAACAAAAAGCAGCATGGAGTAAAAAAGCAACATGAATTTCAGTTAACAGCTATGGCATAATTAATTAGCATGGTCAACAATAGAAATAACAGTGAGGAAGATTATAAACATCAGTATTTGGTAGAGTTGAACTAACTAATCATTTCACTTCATTTCCCATTGTAATAATACCCTAAAATTATGATCAGAAATGTCCAAGTTTAATGTCCTCCCTAATGAGCCAAGTCTCTAATACTCAATGCTCAGTAGTCGCTCCCTCTGATTACCATGCATCTGGGACAAAGGGTTGAAGGAAGGCGGAAGAGAAGGGGAGGGGGGGATTATTAAAGAATCTAACTGTTCATACCTGGCTATCTAGTCGGCGCCTGAACACAGAGGCATGTTCATTCTCCATTATAGAATCTAAGATCTTTACAAATTCATCCATTCCCTGCTCACTCGTACATGGATTCTGAACATTTGCATCGGGAGCTATTACAGGCTGGACATTGCCTTTTGTCACTTTTTCGTTAGCTACAGTTATCATTATATCAGGTGAACACCTCAAGTTATTTTCTCCAACACTTCCACCCTTTCCGTCCTTGTTCATCTCCTTTCTTCTCCTCTTCCCTCTTTTCTTCTTGATGTGTACTCCATGCTCCAAGAGCATGGTTTCCGCTATTTTGTCTATACCAGGAAACTTCTCTAACCTTATACATGGCTCCAAAACCACAGGCTTTCTCTCTCTCTTCTCTACTGATGCTTCAGTAGCAGCAGCTTGGCACTGTGGTATCGAATTTTCCCGGGTTTCCTGAGTGAAACTACCAGCAGATGACCCATCCCGGGATACGTCTTTACCAGATGATTCATTTTCTCCTGATTTGACTAAAGGTTCCAAAGACTCAGCTGCACTACAGCCAAGATCAGCATAACTACACACTGCTTTCTCAGATTTCAAAGTTTCAAGTTTTGTTTCTAAAGAGCTGCAAGAAAATTTATTTGACATAAATTAGTGTTAATAGACTTGTGACTGCAGTATAGAGTTATACGCTGGTCAAGGACTAATTAAGAATAAAAGAAGGGAACTAAGTACTATCATTGAACAAATCTAATAAGAAATCTATCTAAAAAAAAAAAAACAAAAGGTGATCATAGTGTGTCTTACAACTTTACCGAGGTCTATCAACAATGTTGCTCTACAGGTTCATTAATGTTGCTAGAATCTTGTGTTATTCTATGTTTACAGTGCTTCTATACAACTCCTTGCATCCCATATTTAACTTCCCAAAACTAAAGAAGTATGAAGAGGTTCCATATAGATTGTTAAAATAGAAGTTTAAGAATTGATAAAAGGAAAAAGGTTTTTATGTAATGGAAAGAAAAATTAACCTTCACCTAAATAGAAAAATTGAGAAAGAAAAATGTTTTTATTTTTGAAAACTAAAAAGGAAGCACCTCTGAATTAAGTAGAGCTAAAGAGAACAAAAAAAAAAAAAAAAAAAAAAAACTGTATCCACCACCAAAGCTCTGTTTGTTTTGACGGAATACATTATCCAAAAAAATGATTATTCATTTTCCATTGCTTGGTTAGTAAGGATGGAAAACAATTTTATTAAAGGTGGAAAATAGTTCTCTCAAAGGTGGAAAATGTTTCCTTTTGAAAAGAAGATATGCCAAAATTTCTTCCCTATTCCTTACATTCCTAATCTCTACTCTCATCAATCTCTTCCCTTCCACTTTTATTTTTCCCTTTCTCTATAATTTTTGTTGCAAGGAAACAAACAAAAGAAAACTATTTTTACAATTGTGCTTTCCCTTGAAATGATATTCCATTGAGAATCATTTTCCAAAAACAATTTTTTCGTTAAAACAAACAAAGCCTAAGTGTTAATTGGTAATTCTTGACAATAATATATAAAAATCAAACTAAAGAAGAAGGGAAGGAAAATTCAGAGGTTTCTTCCACAAAAAAAAAAAAAAAAAAAAAAAAGAGAAATTAGCACTTACTAACACAAAAATTCCTGTATGAAAAAAAATATAGAACACATACATGAAATGCAGCAAGGGTACTAAACAACTTTATAAAAAGAACCCATTCTACAGTGCAACCAACTTCAAAGTACGGATTAGGTCTTCAGCAAGCACTTTCTGTGCAAAGTTTTATCTATCTCATGACTCACCTCAATGCTTGAATGCATTTCTTCTATTACATAGAATATTCTAAGCTATTGTCTAACACTTATTGATTGGGAGTTTTGGGGCGATTGTTTGCTTGTCTCAATTCCTATACATACATAGAATATCCTAAAGCTATTGTCCAACACTTATCGACTGAGGGGGTCTTGGGACAATTGACTGCTTGTCTCTATTCCTATACATACATAGAATATCCTAAAGCTATTACACTTATCGATTGGAAGTTTTGGGACAATGGTCCGCTTGTCTCTATTCCTATACATACATAGAATATCCTAAAGGCAAGAATAAGTGAATTAATAAAACTTTTAAAAAATAAAAAAAGAAAAGAAAAAAAAGGCAAACTTGACTTAAGAAATAAATCAGGCAACTATCGCATTTGGACTGTTGTACTTGTATTGGTCAAGATAATAATCTGCAAACAAATATTAAAACCTCAAAAGCACATTTTCGTGACTTGTAGAATCTGTTTAACCACCCCTCCAACTCCCACAATTTCGGCAACAACAGTCAAATACTCAGACAAATTGGAATAAACTTTAGCCAGGTTAGAGGCCAAACAAAGGGTCGAGGACAAGGATTTGATAAGGTGGCATGAATGCATTAAAAAAGTCAGCTGCACCACAAACACCATGATTGTCACATGTCAATTAATATTACTTACCCAATTGATTCCTCTGATTTCTCCAACTCTCTACGTAATTCATTTACACGCTTTTTCCGCAACTCTTCAAACCAAGCACTAGGATAAACCAAAATACAAACAGCAAGTTAATTACTGGCAATTTTAGAGGTTGAGATTGAGAAAGATATTATTTCAGAGCAAAATGGGTTATATAACACAAGAAAAAAAACGCCTTACTAGTTATTACAACCCAACAAAGCATATATAAAGACTATAATTATTTGCAATCCCATCTTATGACATGCATAGATCTGTACTCGGCATATAAAATTGGACTTTCTCTCACATTTTTCAGATACTACAGTCTTCACAGTAAGGATTTTATTTTATTTATTTATTAACTTATTTTCATTTAGGTGGAAAAAGGGGTAGACGAAGATTAAAACTATTATACTACATTACTGCTAGAGTCAGTAAACATGGGAATCTAATGTTTCTGCCAGAATCCATTAGTCGGTTAGTCCTCTCTAACAGACATTATTATCATAACTCATACTTTGTATTTCAAGTTTACTCCTCACTTTTAAACATTAATAGTAATTCGTAAATGTAATCTCATTTTGGGTCAACTCTTCAGCCAGACAACAGACAGTAGATGCAAATGCCAATGAGAAGAGTTTGACATGGCACATAAATCAACAAAACAAGTTTTGGATCATATTGTAAAGTGCTATAGTGCAAAACTGCAAACAGATGATGATGATTGTTTAGTTTGTTAAACATTTAGAACATAATCAAATAGTCTGAACTGAACCAACTTAAAACAGTGGCAGCAATTCAGCAAAGCACTATACTTACGAACAGTCAGAATAACACTCTTGCAGCACCTTAAATTTAGCTTTGCACACCTGCAGTTATTTAATCATCATATTAGATATTAGTTAAATTATCATGGTATATAAAAGGAAAGCAAGAAACTAATACAGGAGGCATCAACAGATGAAGGGAAAATGTCAAATCCCTTGGTCCAAACCAATCATGAAAGATCACAAGCGACAAATTATCTTAGTAACTATGTAAAACATTTAACTAAACCAGGGACCTAAACCAGGGACCATCAAGGTAGTGCAAACAATGAAATACATATCCACGAATTACCATCATGCATATATAATATCCATACCAAAATGTATGGCCCAGATGCAAAAAGCTCACAAGAACAAACTTTCCAATAACATGCACAGAAAATTTCTCAAATTAGTGTTCTAAAGTTCCAATGTTATAACCAGATCATTCTCAGAATAAGTAATATATACTTCATACTAAAGACAAACTTGCTTTCTTGTGTACCCAAATCTGATTTCTAAGTAGTATATAAAGTTTTAAGCAAAGATTGACAGCAAAATATGCACCACTTAGTATGTGAAGTAGTAATTCACATTCTATGAGGATTGCTTAACATAAAAGTTCAAAGTAGTATAGAAACTATTTTAAGCTTCAAGCACCTAACTACAGTCCAAAATGTGAATTCAAGAGGTGTATAACAGAGCCCTCTTCTTACCAGGCATTACAGCCCCATGAAACAGTAACATCGGCAGACTACTACAAACCCATAGTTCTAGTCCATCCAGCGCTAATATCAAAGTACTAACACAGCAAATGATTAACACCCAGCTCCATCCAACAATCAATAATTAATGACCAAATACTGCCCATAATCAGTAATAACTCATAACCTTGAAAATAGAGGCAAAACTCCATAGTACACAAGAATATAAGACCTTGACTAATGCTGTACAAATTGCAGATTTCAGAATTTCAATTTCCTATTTAAGAAGCTATCATAGTAATAGACATTAGACAATATGTAAGTCCTCTTGATAGCAAGCAAATTGGGGAAAGGATATCTTGCTCAATATCATCATAGTGCAGTCAGCTGTATTCTGTATGAGGTTTAATTTATAAATTGAAAATCACAGCGAAAGCCAAAAAGAGTGCAACCAACTTCTGTAAGTGCACAACAGGAAGGAAAATAAGACATGTCCAAAACACACAATAGACAGCATCGTCCTGTCAATCATATAATCAAAAGTTACCTGTCACATTAGCCCTACGTTTCTGTTATTTTCACATTAAGGTTATTTAAACACTTAAGAGTCCAGAAAAAGCTAACAGCAACCAAGATTTGATTCACTAAAAAACACTGGAGTGCACAGATTGCTTGCCCTCAAAAAGATAAGAGCTCCAGTGAGCTATCCAGCACAAACATGCTAATAGTTACCCGGGGGAAAGGACAAGATATGAAATAGAATTAAGGATCTCTTATGAACTCTAATAACCTAGAACTTTAGGTTCCAGTATAACAGTATTCCATGATCCTGCTAACCAATTCATCGAGGCGGTAAAGATATAAGACATCTTCAAAGACCAATTAGTAGCAACAACAGTTACAACACATATTCACAGATAAATGAAATAAAACTCCAAATAACTGTTAGGAAATAAAATTCAGGATATTTTTAACCTGCAGTTGAAGAGCAGTGGGCATGCGTTGGTGTCAACAAGTGTTAAATTGGCGATCTCAACAAGAACTCGGCAGCTCAGCTTATGGTATATGTTTGGATAATTTATTTAAGGATTTTTTTTCTCGTGAACTACCTAATAAAACCTAGATTTTGTGATAAACAACATATTAAAAACAATGTTATAAAAAACTACCTGATAAAAGGTAAATGTTATAAGAAACAACCTAATAAAAGGTAAAATATCGTAAAATACTTCCTCTAACGAATTTCCACCTTTGACCCACCTCAAAATACCCCCGCAACCACCGCTTTCATCCCCAACCAAAACAACTAGCTTAGAATTGCCTCCACCACTCTGAAACCACTTGCCAACCCCAAAACTACCACATCTAACCTCAAAAACCACCACCCCAAACAGCCCAAAGCACAAAACTACCCTCACAAACTCGAAATATCCCCCAACCACCCCAAATATAACCTTATCATCTTGAAAAACAACCCCGCAGGGATTTCTGGGGGTGTTTTGAAGTGAGTTAGCGCCGTAAAATTAAGTCATAGTGGAATTTTGGTCAAATGTAGTATCTTACAACATTTTACCTTTTATTAGTAGTTTCTTACAATATTTTTTAATTAGGTAGTTTCTCATAAAATTTCACTGATAAAAAATCAATTTTTTTTTTAAATGAGAATATATTGTGCTATATTTATTCCAGATTTTAGTGTTGTAGTTAAGGATAAATTGTATGAAACTAGGAAAGAAAATTTCTTGGTTAAGTTGGTTTCTTCTTAATTGTATCCTAGTAGTATTGTGTTAGAGGGACTGATTGGGTATATAAATAGCCAAACTAAAGATTCATATGCCATTGTTATTGATATGTGTGAGAAATACAACTTTAAGGTATGGGATTGTATTGCTGATAACAATTTTGATTAATAATACAAGTTGGGACATGGGTTTACCAAGTTAAACTATGGTGTGTGTGCTTTGCCAATATGATTATTCTCTTACTATTTCTAACCAAGTTACCGATTGTATCAAAAGCCAAGGGTTGAGATGCATAAAGGATAAAGGTGGATGGAAAATCAAGATTAAATGAAAGAATTTTAGGAAATTTGTTGAAATGCAAATGGAATGAGATTACGTGCCGTATCGACTATGTGGTTGGCCCATGCAACAAAAATCAAGTACTACCTCCGTTACATATTAGTTGCAACTTTGAAATATTTTATGTCTCACAAATAATACCCCAAAGTTGCAACTAATATGTAACGGAGGTAATATGATGTTCTAAGGAAACGAACCTTAGAAAATAGACAAAATCTTTGGCTAACAAGATATTTCACAAGGTATGACTGGACTCGAGATGGAAGACAATAGAGAGTTAAATCATGTAAATCACTTAAATAGCTTGAATACTTCTACTAGTGACCTTGCCAAATAATACAATAGTGTAATTTCTTCTTTAATGGTAGGGAAAACGGAGTTGGCTTTAGAAGGGACGATTGTTCTTCTAAGATGATTATCGGTGTTTCAATGATGATTATCTATTTTTGAGACCAAGTAGACTTAAGGAGATGATTGTTAGGAAACAAACCCAACATGGTAATGGTGATGGGTTCCGAATAATATGAAACAATACAGTTCATTATTGGACTTGCAAAGTAGCAATTGAGGAGCAATGGGCACACATCATGATAAGTACTCCCTCCGTCCACTTTAATAGGTCACATTTGGTTACTTAATGATTATGTAATTGACCTTAGATATGATAATTTATAAAATCATAATTACCTTTGATGATTTATACAGTTGTTAAAATCAAACAATCAAGCTCATTATAATTTAAATTTATTTATAACTACAGTTAAAAATAAAATAAAAGAAAAATTTGTCAGAATGGTCCTCTTATAATGTAGCACAAAAGGTTCTTTTATCACACTTAGGTGTTGAGAGGGTTTTATGACCGGATTTCGACCATTAACTTTTTTTCGGCTAAAAAAAGTCACGTGTGTTGTATATGACCAATCCTTTTTTTTCCCCTTTCCCCACTTTTCCCCTTCACCTGGTTCGATTTGTCTTCAATTGCATTCAATTTTAATGTGATAGACTAGAATCGGCATTTGATGATTTTTTTTCACAAAATAAGGTTCGTGTTGAGGTTGACGATGAAGAAATTAGGGTTTAATAAAGGAGAAAAGGTGAAAAGGGGAAAAAATGGATTTTTGTGCAAGGGCATGTGAATTTTTTTGGTTGGTAAAAAAAAAAGTCAATTGCCGAAATTCGGTCAAAGGACCCTCGTCACAACCTAAGTGCGATAAAAGGACCTTTTGTGCCACCTTTTTTGTAAAAAAAAAACTTTACAACAAAAAGACCTACTTAAAAGGACCTTTCTGACAATACTTCAAAAATTTTGACATGCAAAAATTGCCAATTGATGGTAGAAAGCTACTATTAAATCAAATCAAATCCCTTGTTCCTTCTCTCTCTCCACTGTCCACGCTCTGACTTTACAACCTTCACATTTACGGCAACAACTATAGATGTGCCACCATCTCCACAACTTTGGCACAACAACAAGAACGAAGAAGCTGCCAATGACATAGTCTTGGCCTGTGGACAGACAATTACCAACACGGGACAAAAAATGGCAATGAGGTATGAAGAGGTGCATCTAAAATAATGTTGGTGACATATGAAAAAGACTTGCTGAAAGTCAATTTCATTTTTGAATTCTTGATGAAAGACAATTTGTTATAAATATGAGATCAAATCAATATAAAAAAATATGTGTAATATATATATTTAATCTCATATCTCTAATACAATTTCTGTACTATTTTGGAGAGAATTAGGAATGAAATTCCTTAATTTAATATAGAGTATTTGATATCAACTACGAGTATTGTCTATTGAGATATTGATATTAGGAATGAACAAGTTTATATCAGATATTTAAGTGTTGATATCATATACAAGTATTAAATAGTTGATATCCATATCAGATATGGAAATGCTGTTAGATGTTTAAAGACTTAAAGTTGATATCATACATTAAAATGTTGATATCATACATTAAAGAGTTGATATTACATATTGAAATATTGATATCATATATTAAAATGTTGATATCATTAATTATTTTCACTTTTATCTCCTTATATGTAGGCAGTGCAGCCTTGTAAGCCTTTACAAAAATTTATAGGTACACCGAAAGAAAGGTGAATGTGAACCAAAGGGTTTTTTCTAAAAAAAACTACTCTTGGGTGCACCTACCACTAAGCTCTAAGTGCACCCGGATGTTTACTAGATGGAATAGCTTAAAACTTTATGTGATAGAAATGTGGCTTATTAAATTGGAAATAACAGAGTAAGCAACATTCTATATTTAGTAAGCTCCTACAAACTTTCAAGTTAGCCACATTATCCTCGATCTATATGTAAGCTTCAATAAAGCCCATCTATATTAAGTTTTAGCTCAACAATAAACTTATTTAACCTAGATAGATCACTCATCTACGGCGAATATTAGGATACATAATCCAACCCGACCACGCATAAAATTCATTTTATAAAAAAAAATTAAATACATATGGGTAGATTATCCATTGAGTAAACGTAACAATATTCCAAAACCATCACAACGCCATAAAATAATGACAAAAGGCAAAAACCAAATTTGATTTTTAGAGAATTCCACCAATCATAAAATAATCCTGATACGCTACACCAATCATAAAATAATACAATAACAAAGATATTCATGAAATAATCAAACCTCATACATTATGACAAAATAAATAAATAAATTAAAAAGCATATATTATAAAATCAAAATAAAATGAAATAAAATAAAATAAAAAAGAGAGGAGAGAGAAAATGGATATACCCTAGGAGTAAAAAAGTAAGGGTAAAGAGAACGGGTTTGGAGCTCCGAAGCAACAGCATCCCAATTGTGAGAACCATGTCTAAGAACAGCCCCACCTAAGATCAATTCTTCCCATGTACCCCATCTCACCTTATCATCCCCTCTTTCCTCCACCATTTAACCTTAGCATCCACTACTTTCTAGAATTTTCTAGAAACCCCAGATCAAAATAACTCTAAATTATCAAACAGATTACGCAGAAACCCAGAAAATGGTTTCAAATTGTAAAGGGATTCCGTTTTCTGGGTAGAAAAGCGGTTTTCAGGCTCAATGAGAGCGGTTTTCCGGTAGAATTTCCGGTTTTGCTTTTAAAAAAAAAGTAATGGTTTTTTTTTTTTCAAATTTCCTATTTTTGGAATTTGATGATTTTAATACAGTAAAATTTTTAGGAAGGATAAGTGAGCGTAAGACATGGGGTTGATAGATTCTATTTGAGAAAATGAATAATTTTTACTTTTTGATTTTTTATATTTTTATGAGAAACTTTGAAAATTGAATGAAAGAGCGAAAATTGTAGAGAGAGAAATTAGAGAGAGATTGTCAGGGGAATATGGATGATGGAGAGACATAAATGGAGAGAGAAAGAGTGGAATTTATTACTCCGTATTTTTTTAATGACTGTAATATATTATTTTATTTTTTTTTGTCACTATTTTGTATACACAAAGTACTACTCCGTAGTTTTAATTAAAAAAAAAAAAAGAATCATAGATTATTACAAGCACTCATTTTTCTACGTATAAAAGTTGTTAGATGCTATAGTCATGTGTCAATTAGAAATTAACCAATTATGTTAACCAATTTTAGAGTCAATCAAATAATTAAAGTATGAGGGTTTCAAAAAAAAAAAAAACGTAGTAATTAAAATATGATACTTAGTTTTTGACTTTACCAATGACCCATTATTAAGCATAAAAGATTAAAAGGAAATCATTGTGTCATTTGTGGATGTTGGTTTAATGCCTTAGAAAATGTATATAATGCCAAGTTATTTTTAGTGGTTGACACTCGTAAGTTATTCAAGAAATAATTTGATTATATCTAATCAGATCAAATCAGATTTTATCTTTAAAGTGGGATAAACCAATAAAGGGAAGAAATCAATGGTTTTTAATGTCTAAATCTGATTTGATGTGAAATCTAGAAAATAAGATTTACAGATATAATGACTTGTCTAGCCAAAATCAATCCTAAATTGTAAATAAGTTTTGTATAAGAATTTTCGTATTTTATCGAAGAGTTGTCTAGATAATAAGATTATTTTGTATTTGGGATTTCATTCACAATTCTAGCAAAAATTGTTATTGCAATGTAAGCTACAAAGCCTACAATCTCATTTAGACTTAATTTTGATTTGAGTAAATAATTCAGTCAAAAACAATGTGTCAAAATTGTTGATTTTTGTTTTATGACAAGAAAATAGTTGCCATTTCTAATAACCAGACAAGTTGATCACCAAAAAGTTTTGTTGCTAGTTATTCTGGTATAAGTCTTTCAAGTAATTAGCACCACTATAAAGTTGGCAAATTGCCTACATTCATTTCCTGGTACTAAAGAAACCACCTTTTCTGGATGGTCTTGGTACCTTTGTTAAGGTTTTTTTTACTTTTTAGTTATTATTATTGAGTTGTATCTATTCTCAATTTGGATTTTAAAATTAGGCATTTTTATTGAGAACATGTATAAATAAGAATCATAGAGAAGAGAAAAACAGTATTAATTTGCTCGGAGTACATGTAAAAATATGTAGGCTAATCGGTCAGTTTTTAGGGTAATATCAACATAAGAATAATCATTCAAACATGTAAATAATGCGCATTGAGATGAAGGCAAAAAATAATTTACAGATTGAGGGACCCATCCAAATTCTTAAAGGGACAAGGAATAAAAATTAAACTTCTCAAATGAGGTTGATGAGGTTTGATCTTTATCACAGTGAAGTGTAAGCAATATTCAAGAAAGGCAACTAGACCAAATTCAATCCAAAGGCAGCCATTAGTGTTTTCTACTTCGGGTTTGTTTAAGAAAAAACCCCTCAATATCTCTGGATATACCCTCGTAACAATCCCTCCCTCCCTCCTTCCGCCTTCCACGAGTCATGAGAAGCCAACGCGCTCTTGCTACACGCCTTAGCCATAAGTAGTTAAGATTAACCCTGCAACAAATACTCCATAATGTTTAGTTGATGTTACTAAACCTTAGAAGTCCTTGTAAAACATCTCAACTCTCTTTTTCTCACCAAGAAAGACATTCCATCACCCAAAAACATGGACCAACTGACTAGTGACTACTATTGCACATTTGCACTTTGTCCAAAATGCTTACCTCTAAAACTAAATAGCTAAGTGGGTCACAGTTGAAAACTACTCTACCCTCCTTAATCTCAATAAATTTGGACCAACATAAAAACAAAGAATGCATAAGCATATGGCATTGTCCCACTGAACCATACCACTAATTTTAGTGGCTATTAAGGGCCCCTAACTAGTGTATAAAGTAATTAAGGAAATTAAAGTATGTCCACAGATCACTATATCAATCTGTGCAACAAATATTGTAGTAATTGTAGTATGTGCTATCTTCTGAAACACAGACAAGCCCATCCAACCAGTATCCAAGAAGTAAAACTATATGAAACACATGCTTTCTTCTATATGTACGGCTGTACGCGTTGGTGTTCTCGGAATTTGTATGAAGGAATCTCACAAATCTTAAGAATGGCCCAGCATGAATAACCTGGGCGTTTTTTTCATTGAATATGAAGTATAGGACACATACATCAGATGCACAGATAGTTACATGACAATGATTAGCGCCTAGAGCTACAGGGGCAGCGCCCATCTAGAAAAGAATGGCATTGAATGAAAAGCTTGCGCATCCTTTTGATGGACTGAGAATGATACAAGGGTACAACTAATGGATTATTTATGGCACTGATTCTTGATGATTGGCCACCCCGAGATATTAACAGGCGATGGAAGAAAAGCAAAAATCAGGACTTTAGAGTTTAGAATCGTCAAAATCTCTGGCTCATCGCGACAAGGAAACATAATCCTTCCTCACTGTTCCAAAAAAGTCATCGCATGAATTATATGCTGTGATCTTGAAGAACTAGATTCAATTCCAAAGCTGATCTGGCAAGTGATTCACTCTTCCTGCATACAGAAACAGCTGACCTTAGCTGTGGTCAAGTAGCCACAAAAAAGGATGAAATAATTTGGGCTTTCAATTATCCATTTAAGGTTATGGGAAAAGTAGTATAAATGCACAAAAAAAATCTTCCAATTTATATAGCACAAGCAATAATAACATTAAATGACGAAACAGCAAAGATAGCTCAGCATTGATCCTTTTCACAACATAAACCTAGTATGCAAGTTACCTGGACAGTGCAGGAAGAAGGCCTTGTATCTGCTGCAGCTGGACAAAACACTGTTTGCAGCACGCAATCCTGTTGATTTTGAAGAATAAGCGATATTCAATATGCATGAAATAGCTATACGGATAAGAGTGATGGCCTATTCCTAGCCAGCCTCCCTTTTAAAAAAGAAAGGGAAAGCAAATTTGGAGATTGGAGAGTATACCTTTCTTCTTGATGAAGATCAACGCCCACAGAAGGAGGTGCTGAGATGGTTGAGCGAATTGTAGGTCCCAAAAAGGCAACAAGTTTGAGCAACAATTCCAGAGACATTTTTGCATGCCTGTAAAATATGGAAGTGAAATCACGATTTGAAAGATCAACCTAATGCCCCTTACCCAGGTTTAAGCAACTAGCTAAGAAGAGTAAATGAACTACGCTCTCATATACTGCCAGCTATTGATGTAGGAGTCCAAGATCACTCTTAAGCCTCCCAAAGAACTGCAAACTCAATTTTGCTTACTGACCCTCCATACGCCAAAAATTTTATTAAATACATGCACAAGCCAGAAAGTATGTTTAAATTACCTTTCCAACTTGCTGTCCAGGAGACCCACCAATATAGGTAGCATACAAAAGAACAAGTCCATGGTAACAATTTCCATTCTCTCCATGAAAACACTAATCACATCAGCCTGGACCTGAGCCACAAGGAGGAAAATATGCAATTTTGAGATTATTTCACCATAGGAGTATAAGCAAGATCAAATATCAAGCTCAAACAAAGATTAAAAGATAAAAGTACTCACCGAATGATCGGGTAACTTCTTCAATGATGTAATGGCACCTTTTATGTCATTTCGTTCCCACAAATGCCGCACCATCTGAATATCAATCGAATTATTAAAAAATATGGTTTTGAAAAAATCATATCCAGATTTTTATGAAAATTATGTAAACTAAGACCAAATCACAGTTATGATGTCGATTGGAGAATCGTTTCTTTATGCCATGCTGTCAATTGAGATAATACTTCATAGAACATAGCCAGAAAATTACCTGTAACTTTTTGAGGCGAGAACGAAGACCATTCAGAAGAGCATCATGATTCTGCATAAGATCTTCAATAAAATATGCATCACTTTCTGAGGCTGATTCTCTACCAGAAACTTGCGGTTCTTCTTTCTGATAAAGTGATAACCAAGCAAAGTAATAAAATATAAGATCCAGGATTCCAGATAAACTATAACTAAACAACGAAGTTTCAACTATACCCAAAATTTGCAAATCATATTTCAATACAAGGTCGCAGTTAAGGAAATTCTAGTTCTCACAGACCACAACTATGCATTGATTTCTACATAATCCTCTCAGCCATAAGCTTAAAACAATCCTAAATTTTATACCATTTCACATGGCTGTCTTAGTTGACACCCAAATAAAAATTAAAAAAAAAAATCTCAAAATATCTTATTTCAAAAATAATAATACTTCTAATAATAATAATAATAATAAATTTAGATAAGCTCATCAGATCAAATAGGTTCCGAAACACTAATATCAAATAAAATCAATTGAGATTCAAACAAAACAAATGCAGAAAAGAAAATAAGTTCAGAAATTCAAAGAAAACAAGTTCAAACAAAACAAAATAAGTTAAGGTAAAATAAATTAAGTTAAGATGAAAAGAAGTCCTGACAAAAAAACTTGGGCCCTATTCTCTTAAACTAATTTTTGCTAAACTGAAATTATTCTTACTGAATTGAAATTATTTGTGCTAAACATAAATTATTTTTACTAATTAAAGTGACATTTATTTTAATGGCTCTCTATAATATTTCTTCTATACAGTTACTAATTTAAATCTATTTGTACTGAATAGAAATTATTTTTACTAAACTGAACTTAATTTTACTAAATATTATTCTTTTTAAGGTGAAGAGAACAAAGCCTTGGTTCATGTAGTAACCAAATAAGTACAGATAAGATAAAATAAATCCAGACAAAATTAGATGAGCCATATAGAGCCTAAGGAGTGCTAAAGTTGACTATTTTCAGTACATTTTAGTACAATAGTGTATATCACATAAGGTGACTAAAGGCATTTGAATAGGTAAATCAGAAATATTATGACTCATATTTAAAAAATAATAATAAAAAAAAAAAGTTCAAGTGAAATGAGGTATGCTACTTCTATTGAACTATCTAGCCTCAAATATAGTAACAAATTTGATGAAAAAAAGGGAAAAAAAAATACAAGTACTATATAAAACTCAGCACAAGCAATAAGCAGCCTTAGAAATCTTAGAAGGCATTTCAGTATTTGAGTCGTCCAAAAACTTAACCGGTCCCATTTACAATAAATTCAAGGACAAGCGAGCACAATACACGTATAACAGGATTATTATTCTATTTGTAAGAAAATCGGGAAGCACTAAACAGCAGTTATCAAAACTATCTTAGTTCAAAGACCATAAAGAAAAATTGCTTTCTGTTTGAGGACGGTCTTTTGTTTCTGTGGCAAATAAGGATTATAAGTTGTTTCCATGAGTTGGGAGAGGTTTACTTAAAAGAATGTGAAAAGTAACTTCTCAGAAATTTCATCACATGGAGAGTATAAACATACTAGCATGGCAGAGCTGTTCATCCTATCAGAAATGACCTCAGGGGATACACTGATCGTTTGATCTTCACCACCGCAATATTTTCCCCTTTTTTCAAATTTCTCAACAAGAGAACGTGTCCTTCCAAGAGAAACTGTCACTGCTAAATGAGAACAAAGACTTGAGTTAGGTTTCCCATAATTAAAAGTCGTTTGCAATTCGCAACTTCCAGGATAAGATTTCCCATCTCCATCTGCAACTTTTATATTTTGTATCTCTTTATGGTCAAATGAATCACCAGATACTGTGAACAAAACAAGAGAAAATTACTGAGAATCAGCAAGAAAATAAAAGAAGTGAACCAGGAAGCATCTAAAGTGCTTTTACAAAGACAACTGCGAATGGCCAAACAAGATAGGTCTGCTGGCTGTCAAAACACGCACGCACGTACAAATAACATCCATCTTTATGGAAAGAGGTGAGATCTTACCACTCTGCAAGTTATTATCTATTGGAGTAGATGGATTTTCTTCAAACTGCTCTTCAAAATTTTCAGGAGTGGGATTTCTGTCTTCACATAAATCCCTAGCTCCCACTCCCAGTACGGGCCTATCAAGAAAAGTTGGATCTGCATTATCAATATCATATTTGCTACTGGATGACTTCTTTATGTGCGTAGCCTGTCCAGGCTTTGCAGGTGTCATTGACTCTCTTCTAGAATTGGCAAAACTTCTTCCACCAGAGCTGTCTCTAGCACCCATGTCCAGAACATGCCTATCTAGAAAATTTGGATCTCCAGCATCAACATCAAATTTGCTCCTAGATGACTTTCTTACGTGCAGAGCCTTAATTGACCCCCCACTACCAGGCTTTGCAGGTGTAATTGACTCTCTTCTAGAATTGGAAAAACTTTTTCCACCTGAACTGTCTCTAGGAACAAAGGTTGGGGTAACAAAAGATCTACCACCAGCTTGAACATTAGATTTTCCTGATGTGGCACTAGGTGTACTTTGCTTTTTAGATGATAACTTGGTGGTTTCCTTCACGTCAGACGACATGGCTTTTGATGTATTACGTAAGCGTGTTTTGCGAGAACTGACTGGCTTCTCATCTGCAGTTACAAGGATACATAGACAGTCACTTACACGAGAAACTTGCATTACAAATTGCTCATTAATTGTTGGAAGATTAGGCGTACAGAAAAAAATGAACAGGCATGTAATATGGGTCAATAAGTCTGACTATACTCCTAGTATCCCCAAAAGGCAAAAGATGCATACTAAAGACATCAGCACCATGCCATTTTGCCATAGCATAGTATAAACCATAGACTCACATACAAGTGATACCAATAAAATGAATCTGATTACCTTTTATTCCAAGCAATTCTTGTTGCAAGGAAATCCACATATTGGCATGTGAACCAAGATCAGAATGGTCATTGGTATCAATCTACTATTGTTTAGGACTTTAGGGTGGATTGGATAACACTATAATCCTCAGGTTAGATTTCTCTAATTAGCACCCACCCTATCTCACATCTTGCTTAGTCTATACTTGGACAGTGACATAATACTCGATAGAGGATTGTAATGTTGCTAATTCCAAACAAATGAATAAGAAAAACCCTCGTGAGACCATCATGTGATGAATTAAGTCTCAAAGTAATACTTCTTCTGTTTTTTTTTTTTTTTTTTTTTGACACTGTTTGACTTTTACACTATTCATTAACTACACTATGACTAGCTTTTGTGATTTATAGCTACAATAAAACATAGTCAAGTGGGATCTTGTTTAAAACAACTCCATGTATATTTTATTAATAATTTAATATCCACTTTTTATAATTTTACAATGTCGAGATTAGAGATATTAGTCGTTAAAAGAGTGCGTTGGCAAGCGTGATTATAGAATGGTGTCAACTAAATAAAAACAGAGGTAGTATGAGGCTAACATCTGAGAGAATATGGAACATATGATACTCCGAAATCTATACAGTATACACAACAATCAAGATGCAGGCTGACATATGTTTATCCAGGGGGTTGAAACATCGAAAAAAAAAAATATCAGAAAGGAAATTTCTAAATATACCAAAACTTGGCCCAAGCATAGCCTACCCCACATGTCTAGCAGGCTAGATTATTGTATTGCCCCATGTGATATACATGCTGTTGGGTTTTCTAAAAATTATTATTAAAAAATACCCTAATGGCCTAATCATTTGAACTAAGCAACATCGCTGCAGCCAGCAGTTTTCTTTTTTCCTAGTATTATAGGAAGTAAGTTACAGGTAAATGAAACAGAGTCTGTTAGATTGAATTCAAGTTATCAGTAAACATTTATGTTAACAAAGGCCCAGGCTATGCCTTGTGCCAAGCCCGAGGGATCTTCCAATTTCCAACCACCATATTTTGCCATAACCTTGGCAGGCACAATCCAATTCCCATGCATGTGTACCTTGAGCCCAACCATTCCTAGTTCACACTCCCACCCTAGGCTAGAAGCTGTGGGATCCAAGGCTTTGTTCATTTCACCTTTTAAAATAACATTCCAACTAATGTTCAAATAAGGTGAAGGAATTCAAAGGAGAAGAAAGCCTTAGCACTTGGCATTTTTAGTTTCACATATGCAACTAAAGGAAGACAAAACCTTTGTTGATGACAAAACAAAATAGACCCCACCTCCCCCCCCCCCCCCCCCCCCCCAAAAAAAAAAAAAAAAAAAAAAAACCACCACCAAACTCCAAATTCAGTAAAGTCCTTATGTTATTGGCACAATCTAAGAGGATGCAAGTAAGTGTTAGCTGTTATAGTGATTGATAGTTCTTTTACTAATTCAGCTACTTGTCAAAGTTAAAAGTAGTTATTTTCTTTAAGTACTTGCACTGCTCTAACCCTACCATTAAAGTAATATATAAATAGAAATAAATAGATAAAGTGATAAACAGTTAAACACAAGATTGCCTTACCAGCTAATTTTGGTAGCTTTTTGCAAAACACTACACTAGATAGCTAAATAACACCTTAACGGTGGCCTTTGGAGAACACTACTTTGAGAAAAGCTAATTTTGGCCGCTTTTGCACAAACACTACTATTAAAGCTAATTTTGGTAGCTTTTGCAGAACAATACCCCAAGCTTAAAAGGCTAGCGCTCACCACTACAGCACCAAACACTGATATTTGGTAGTGCTTTGACCCTACATTAAATGCTACTCCATAAACTAGTGCTGACTGCTGAAGTCTGAACATACCCACAAGCAAATCTCGTTAATTCTAATAGCAATTCCCATTCATTATTTAAATGTAATGAGCATCTAACTTTTCCAATTTAGTTATCCACTTATCCTAGTTTGCAGAAAAAAAGGACATACAAAGAAAAGTCAAAATTCCAAAACATAGCAATAATACTCAAGTATTGTTGTCAATTTTCAAAAAGGGCTTCAACATCATTATCATTTGAAAAAAAACAAAAATATCATCTTTAAGCTAGAGCTTCCAAGTGACAAGGAGTTGTAAATGCAAAAAATTGCAGTCATATACTGGCCAGAAAAGGAGTGATGGTAACTAGATGAACCACAAAATATTTCCAGCTTCAATAATCTTTAAAGACAATATGACTTACAGTCCACATATATATTCTTAATATCTTTAGCGTCAATATCTGGGGACGTGGAACGAGAGCTGAAAGAGGACCCAACAGCTGACATTACTTCGGGAGACTGACTTTCTCGCATATCAGCCTTAAACTCAACAGGGTTTCTCTCATGAGGTGCGCCAGAATCAGCAATCCCATATGGCTGAACACGCTTCAAGCATTAAATAAAAGAAAGTTAAAGTTGCACTTTAAATTAAGGTACGAGTGTGTGACACTGTTGATACATGCATGCTATAGTGTTAAGTAGCTTAAACAAAGATAACAGTAAATCACATACTGAGAGATCAGCCACCCAAACACCAACGGAGTTCCGATAGTAAGAGCAACCTATGACCTTTCCTTCATGAATACAGAGATCACCAAGGGTCGACCATCCCATATCAACAGAATCATGACAGATTACAGGCTCCCATGAATAAACCTATTGAATTATAGATGAGTATAATAGCATATAATTGTATTTTACTCAAATAGATAAATAAAAAAATAAGAAGAAGAAAAAAAAAAAAAAACCACACACATAAACAAAAGAATTTTGTTAGTATTCTGACCTTCAGGTTATTGTCATATCCAGAAAAGAGAGTCCTCCCATCAGGATGAAAGGTTAAAGCAAGCACTCCTGCAGCCTGGATGATACAAAAATGACAATTGAAGCTTTGAGGCAAAATCTTGAATTGAGCATCATGTGATGAATAAAGACATAAGGTCCTCAGGCAGCATATAATGGGGTATGATGACACCTATTTTTTCACAAACATTATGAATTATGATGACTAGCCAAGTAGCCATCCTAAGTGAAGAAACTATAATTAACCACCCTGAAAATCTTATTTCAACTTCTCATAACAACTCAATGTACTAAAAATTGGTAAAGGGTGGCTATGAGACAAAGAAATGGACTTGATGATGATCAGTTATAAATTTGAAAATTTTCATTTTGGGGTTGACTGAGAATAATGCCTCCAACAAAAAAAAAATTGTGGCTCAGCCAAGAGGAAGAAATTCATTAATAGCTACGAATGCCTCCACCAGAACCTGTCTAGCACTTGCACTTACCACAAACCATAGCCTAGAATTCAACAGTGATACGACAACGATATTTCAAGTCAATAAGAAAATTTATTACCTCAGCCCTGGCAGATCCAATCATTTCAAAAGTTTCCAAATCCCAGAATTTGACAGTTCTATCCGCTGAACCTGAAAAATGCTATACATAATTAGAGTACAGAAAATAACATCAGCCACTGAAAGGGAACAGCTTAGCACCATTACATTAGCACTAACTCTAAGGGCATAAGGTCTGAGAGGTGCTCAAGTATAGGTTCAGGCAAAGAAGAGCAAAAACAAAAGGAGATTAGACCTTGAAGAAGGATCCATGCTATAATGGACATTTGTGATAAATGATGACGTAACAGCAAAGCACTTCATGACTAGACTGATAATGCTAAATTCATGAGAAAGAAATGGGGCCTCAAACCAAGGAAAGAAACAAAGGCAGCACTTTTTGTGAACCCGACATATTATATTGCTGAAAAGTAAGGACAGCATCAGCATATATGTGAGTGGTGGCTGCTCTGGTAAATGAAGAGCTATTGTTGAAGATACACTTTAATATGGGTAAAAGTGTAAATAACTAAATAGCATAAAACTAAAGACTTCAAAAATGGACTAGTTGGAGTCTTCAAAATCAATTGAAAATCTCAGTTGAGTTCGAGCTTATCACAAATATGTATATACACATTTATTGAAACACTTAACCGAGATGCAAGGATCCTGTGGCGGAAAGATATCCTCCAGCAAGCCTTCCACATGAAAATGCACTTGACTCTGAAATCTGAAAAAGGAAAAATGCATGGGCTCTCCTTTCTACTTGTGCTCAACTGACATAAGCTTTTTAAGCAGGAGCTATAATGAAACTTCAAAAAGATTAAGTTGTTCGACAGTTAAGGAAAATTCTATCTACACTATGACAAAGATAAGTATCAATCTTAATACTAATTGCCACCTTGGGAAATGGTCACTAAGCGAAATAGAGTAATAAATGTAGAGAGAATGTGACATGCAACTTTATAAGCGATCAGTTCTAACCAAATGGATAAGTACCTGTGGCAAGAAGAAACTCAAGTGGGTGGAAGTCTAAGGATGTGATGGAACCATCATGAAACTTGAAATCATGCAACAACTTTCCAGCAGTCAAATCCCAGACCTGTGCAGAAAAGATATATTCTACTTAAGGAAAGCCATCAAGAATCTGCAAATACCTAAGCTATCAAGACGCAAGTGCTTATATTATGTTCTCATCTTACCTTTACAACATTATCGGATCCACCAGAAACAACCCATCGACCATCAGGTGTGAACTTTATAGCATTGATCCCGAGATTGTGGCCCTTATATGTGTGAATACATCCTTTCTTTCTTATATCCCAGATCTTTAGGTCGGTGTCTGCTGAACCAGATGCAAAAAATTCTCCAAAAGGGTGGAATTCAACAGAAGTGCAATTGGATCTATGACCAGTAAGAGTTCGAACCACTACACTTCGAAAAAGCAGTGTTAAAATAAAGATGTACATTTAAAAAAAATTATCAAAAAAAATTCTCCGATAAACCAGAACGTAGAGCTATATAATGAAGTCAATACACAAATGACCAGAAAAGGTGTAAATAACTATACTTCGTATCAATAAAGTAATTATTATCCTAGATTAGATAAATCATCAATGCATTAATTCTACACTACCAAGGGCTACACTGTCCAAAAATTTAAGACAGGAGGTGAGACATTGACAAACTCACTCTTTGCCTCTTCTAGATCCCATAACTTCACTGTACCAGAAGAAGCTCCACCAAGCACCAACACTTCTGTTGAATCGAAGGACAAGCTTTCTACTGGAGTGGTATGACCACATAGGCTCTGCAAAACCCAAGAGCAATAGCTAAGAATAAATTCTAACATAACACCTCAAACATCATAAAGCAGTGTTGCAATCAGCAGGATATGAACAACATCACCCTTCAGCATCATGAATAAATACATCAACCTTCAGCATCATGAATAAATACATCACCCTTCATAACGAAAGAGGCAATTGTACACTCCTCGTTCCTCAATATAACATATCTCAATCAAATTGTTGCTGCTATGAAATACAAGCATTACTCGATATCACTACATTGAGTTCAATGGTGATTTTATAATATCTAATTCGTTATAAAAGAAAAAAAAAATCCATCCATTCTTAAACAAGCAACAAGATCGCAATCTACAAGTGCATTTAATAGGGATAGTAGGATACCTAGGGTATTATTGTAAATACGCATTATATTTACCAACGTATATGAGTATCAGAGCTTTCTAGAGGGTAAGCTGAATTATCACAGACTAAGACCTTAGATTTACCCATTAATTCTTTAAAAAGTTTTCATTTTCCCATTATGATTAAGAAAAAAGGAAAACCCAAAACTTACAATTATCTACAAATCTTCCTTCTAACTTGCACCTATATAAAGGTATCATAGCACATTACTACTATATACAAAATTAATGACCCTAAATCAAAAGTCCCAAAAGCAGCAAAACAGAACGGTTCAATCAAATAAGTGATCAACCCCAACTCGAGTCCAAAGTAGTCAAAACAGCTTAATTGGAATTCTTTTCTGTAAACCTTGCTACTAGCTAGTTGCTACCAACTAATCCCTAACTACATTTACTAAATACAGAAATTTTCCATGAAACTGAACCTAGTTAGACAAACAACCAAAACCCGGCAAAACGACACATCTATAAGACTATAACATCATCATTCACATTAAACTCCAATGTCTAACCACTAAAATGCACTTAATTAACATATTTAAATTTAAATAAAATAATCTCTTCAAAAAAAAAAAAAGTAAATTGATTTAAAAGAAATGTACCATCAAAGAAGTTGGTTTGCCAATTGACCACAAGTTAACTTTGTGATCATCTCCACCCGTCAGAAGAAGGCGACATGCTTTCTTCCCAATCCTAAGACAATTCACATTTGCTGAGTGTGCCGCAAATTCCTCTTTACATTTTATTTTTGGTCAAGAAATTTTCCAAATAATTAATCAACAAATTACACATTCATTCAAAGTTTCACCCAAAAAAAAAAAAAATTAACTTTAAAAAAAAATAAATCAAAGGCCAACCCATTATCCCAATTCAACTAAAAAATTAACCCAAAACAAATACAGAACATGGGAAGTCGGTGGAAAGAGCAGAAAACGCCAAAAAAAAATACAAAAATTACTACTTATTATTTAAATTTCAAAGAACACAAAAACAGATAAATAAACTAATCAATTAATCATGAACCAAACAAGTAAATGGTATAATCAAACTAACATTCCAAGCAATTTCCAGCTTAGATCAGATGAATAACAAAATGAAAAATTGAAGTACATTTAATTTGATAAAAAGAAAAAACCAATTAATTTTTAATTTTTTTCGGATAAAAACTAAAAAGCAGCAATTTAAACTAAATAATTTAAACTAAATAAAGTGAAAATACAAAGGGAGAATTTAAGGATACGGAGCTTGTAAGCACGTTTCGCCATTAAAAGCCAAAAATGAGAATTTAGGAGTTAGATTTTTGGTTAGAGAAGAAAAGGGTACTTTGTGTGCAAGATTAGAAAGCAGAATAATTCTGGGTTTTTTGGGGGATTGAGAATTTAGTGAATAATTTGAAGGATTCGAAGAATGAACAGCAGTGAAGAAGAAAGTTTCAGAGAGAGAAAGTGGAGGAGAGAGAAAGAAGGGATTGTTTGGATTTTGGAAGGACTGAAATAAGACGCGGTAATACAAAATGATTAATTATATCTATGCACGGCTTATGATTTAGTGGAAGTTGGGAGTATTGTATTTTTAGTGTGATCAAGGTTTTTTTTTTTTTGGTTGTATTTCTTATAAATATTTTTTAGTTTATGTCTATTTCTTACCATTTTGGGATATATTACACTATATTACAAAGATTTTTATTTCATGTATAAAATTTGTTTTTCTGTTTTGGTTTTTTTTTTTTTTTTGAACTTAAATCTACTTGAATATTTACTAAAGATCGAGAAAGATATAAGAGTCATAGTATTTGGATTTTGGCATGTGCAAGGATAAGACATGTAAATTCCTTGCCAAAAATTGGTAGAAAATTGGAGTCTAGGGAATAAAAGGTGACTATATATTGGCTTTATACTAATTCAATTACATTTTTTATTGTTGGATATTGGTCTATTTTAAATAAGAACAATGTAATATTCTCATCTTTAATAAGAAGTGAAGTTTCTTTAAAGGAAGTGATGAGGTACATGGTTGGAGATCACACTAGACTAGAGTTCCATTTTTAAATCATTCATACCATTTCTTACCTTATAAATGACTTTACACGAAACTTAGTATGAAATGGATAATGGTAAAAGGGTGAAATTTAAAGACACTAGCACTGAAGGGCTATTTAAAAATCTATTTCAATGCTTGAGAATGACATTATATGTGACAGACTGACAGGCGAGAATGTGAGATCAAACTACAAATTAATTGTATATAAACCTTTAAATTGGAATCAATTGCTAATGTTATGCATATACACACACATGTTTAATGGATGGCTCTTGGCATGTGGAAAATTAAGAAGGTTTATTCACTTGTTGTCTAATTACTATTTTGATCACATAATCAATCTTTATTAGTTAATGAATTACATGTGCAGGTGGGTTATTGATAAATTTTCTCTTAGACGAACTAAGAGCATGTTCTCATAGCTTAGACTGAATTGAACTGAACTGGGCTGAACTGAACTCAACTGAAATGAATATTTTATAAGAGAAGGAAATTAGGAGTTGAACTAAACTGAACTGAACTGAATTGAGCTGAACTGAACTTAACTGAACTGAACTAAAGTTAAAATAAACGTATGAGAATAGGCCCTAAATAGTTATATTTTTTGTCACTAGATTGATCTCACCATGCGGACGATAAGTTTATTGTTTGGATATGATGCTTTAATAATTGACATTTCTCCAAAAGTAAGAGAAAGAACGGCAATTGTACAATATCCTAAATCTATATGCTTACTATGTCAAGAGTCATTTGATATACATAAAATAATTTATTGACTTTAACTTGACAAAAATTTTATAAATAAAAATTCAAAGGTTTAAATCATAATTTATACTAATATATCATTGTGTATGAATAGACATTGTTAAAGACTACAATTTTCTATTATAATATAAATTTTATGTGTGAATGTGTCAAATAAATTTCATCAAAGCGAATAACTAGATAACATGCAAATAACACGTGTATGTTTTCTGAAAATTCAACTCACTTATTATTCACATCATCAAAATAATATAACTTTTACATTTTCACTTATAAGAAGTTAAATATAGTAATAATTATATATGCGCATTAAAAACATACAAATGTCAAATGAGGTAATTTTCATAATAAACATGGAGAAAAACAAATTTGAAATTTCAAGTCTGTAACAAAAAAATAAACACTATAGATACATTGATGTCTCAACAAATATTATACTCCATAATTCATAACCAAACTTGATAAATTCTTGGATCACTAAAATTGCTTCATTTTAAAACCATTGAGAAAAATAATGTAAGTTAGTTAAATTGTCATTGTTAATTAATTGTCGAAGGTACAAACCAAAAAGTGTGGACAAGAGGGCTAGAAAGCGAAGCTCAACTTTAAACATATACTCGTAATTTGGTTAGGCCAAACGGCTCAAACGTAACCATTCAACCCAATACTCTAATTAGTGGTAGTAGGCCTTAGTAGTAGGTCCTTTAGAATCTTACAAATAAATATACCAAGTAATTAATATTAATAATATTTTCCATACAAATATATAATAATTTAGTGGTTTGCATCTTTTAATTATTTGCCTCCCCATATTTGAAACATGAAAAGTACACAATTGTTTTTTTTAGTTTATTGAAGATAATTTTGTTTGTGGAATTGCGTTACTTTTATCTTCTCTCTCTTAACCTTCATCATTAGATGAAAATGCCAAACATAAGCAACGTAGACATTGCTCGTATAGTCATTTTAGCCTTTAAGGTGAGTTATGAAACTCTCAAACATACATTAATTAAATTAGCAAGTGTATAAACCAAGCGATGATGCTCGAAAGATGCATACGAATGATGTTCCAAAGAGGCATACGGCTGTATATGCTATTACTTTAATAGTAGTGTATAATAAAGCATGTATATGTTATTCTGTCATGACTTATAATAGTGTATAAATGAGTACTTGTCTTAATTTGGATGTGTGTTTATTCTTGAAAAACTAATTACCTTGAAAATCTTTATATATTTTAGTTCGGTTTATTTTGTGTTTGTATTACTTTTAAAATATATTGTAATTTGTATTAGTATTGCTCTTTTTAATTGAATATATGTTTTTTTTTTTGAAACAATATATGTTGTTCTTTTATATCCCCTCAAAAAAGTTTTTTTACAAAGACATAATTGTTTAAACCATAATGTTATTGAAATTATTTTGCGATAATATTTAAATTAAATTATTTTGTGGTTAAGCTAGCTAGTTAGTTGAAACTATCAACTAATAGAGCAAGAGGCAAATGGGATAAAATATATAGTTCCCCCTTTTCTTTGTATTTTCTATATGGAGTAATTATATACGAGTACATTTTATATGATATAATCTTCTAAACTACGTACTCAAAACTATATGAAATATTTGAGTGACGAAAAAGGCACTGAATAATTGAATAATTTTACTAATATACAGTTATAAACATTATAATAATTAAATATATTGACAATTTATAAAGTCAAAACAAAACTATATGAAATATTTGAGTGACCAAAAAGGCACACCAGTACACCACAACAAGCTTTTGTGGTAGGGGTTTGTGTTTGTTTCTATGACCAATTTTATTCTTCGAAGATATCCCCGAAAACCTACAATTTTTGTAACCCATTCCATATACAAGTATTATATACTTTTTTATTTTATTTGTTTGGACATACATTCAAATATTCAATATATACTTATTGTCGACTAGGACTTACAAATTACAATAGGAGGGGTCCTTGAATATTTGATCATTGTTGACATGTAATACTTGTTTGTATTATTTTGAATTACATGAATTTTTGTAATTAGTTGACTACCGATCTCTCATATATAACCCTTCTTACTTGTTCTTTGTTACATTTATGCTACATGCATAACCTTGAAATTAAGGTACATTAAATTATACCTTGAATTAGTTAGTTGCCTTCACATAAATATTATGAGAATCTCGTTATAAACTTATAATCCGATCAACATTTTATGTATGTTATGCGAGTTAGAGTACAAATGTTTTTTTGAGTTTATATTGGCTTATTTCATTTAGATTTGGGAATACTATATATATAAACTCCATGGTTTCACTAACCCCTATTTAGAATTATTGAAATTTTTTTTTTTTTTTTGACATTTTTGATACTAAATAGAGAAAGATTATTTTAGGCGAATAAAATACTAGAAACATAAAATGCATTTATGGAAGCAAACCTCTTACAAGTAAAATCATGTGTACTCTTATGATGAGTCATAATCTACTCAAAAATAAGCAAATATGAGTTGAAACAATTGGCATACAACCTCAAATAAAAAGGCTTGTTGATCAAATTAAAATAAAACAAGTCACTATCATTCATGGTAAGGTGATTCAATCTTCAATAATACGTTTCGGTAGCTCTCATACCCGATTTTGTTTTTGCTTTATTGGTTAATTAAGTTTTTAATTGTTCGATCACTTAATTTTTTTTTAATTGTTTTTTAATGTGCAACCAAAATGGCCTAATTTGTATTGAGAGTAGAAACATCGCTTTCTTCAACGGATTAATATTTGATTCTTTCTCTTTTGCCTCTTCAATCATCGTAGTACTACTTTTGGATTATTAAAGTTACAAACTAACTGTTATGGATTATAATGGCTCTAATACTTCTTTCATCATAAAATAATTGACAATCATTATACCCTCTAATTTTAGAAATTTCAACTCTTTTTACCATCTTAGATGTTACTTCATCAACAAAAACATAGAAAATACTCGAAATTACAATAACATTTGTATAATAGAGATGTAAAAATAGTAATAAAGACTTTTTTTTTTTTTTTTTTTTTTACGGGAGTAATAAAGACACAACTAAAGTTAGAATTCTCAAACAAACAATCCAATTTAGAGTATGTTCTGTTCACATTATTTTTATTTAACTAAAGTTTAATAGTTCAATTAAGTTTTGATAAGTTAAGTAATCTTCGATTCAAGAAAATAAGTTTTAATAAAAGGGCTACCCACATTCAAATTACAACTAAATAAAGTTTTAATAAGGTCATTTAAATAGGTAAAAATTGGGCTACTAGTTTACACCCTTAATGTATTTTTTTATGATGAAAATATTGGATTTCAACTTCTTTTTTTCCCCCCCTTCAAAACTATCATTTTAATAGTTCAATTGTAACTTTATTTTGACTTACTAACTTAATTAACAAGTGAATAAAAAAAAATAAAAATAAAAAGTGTCACTAAGGGTTTGTTCAGTTCAGCTTAATTTCAGTTTAGTTCAGTTCAGCTCCTAATTTTCTTCTCTCATAAAATATTCATTTCAGCTATATTCAATCCAGTTCAGTTCCAATCAGTTTAGTTCGGTTCAGCTCAATTCAATAATTGTGAACAAGCGCTTAGAACTAGGGTCTGTTCTCATTGACTGAAATGAGTTGAACTGAACTGAAATAAATATTTATGAGAGAAGGAAATTAGAAGCTAAATTGAATTGAAATTAACTAAACTGAACTGAACTGAACTGAACTTATTAGAGTTGAACTGAATTGGAAATAATCTAATGAGAACATGTGCTTAATCCTCCCTATTAATTAAATTTACGTGCCAAAAACAACGTTGGTATAGGGCTTGTTCTCTTACGTTGAAATTCAGTTCAGTTCAGCTCAGTTCAGTTCAGTTCAGCTCCTAATTTCCTTCTCTTATAAAATATTTATTTTAGTTCAGTTCAGCTCAGTTCAGTTCAGTTCAATTCAGTCAATGATAACAGGCCCTAAACTGCACTCTCAATTTTAAGCCCGATTTGTTCATTTCTTAGCAACAATTATAAACAAAGTACAACACATGTGAATATGTGATCCATGTGTTCCGCCGAAAGTTCTACCATTTGTACCATATCTTCACATTGTAATTGTTGCCTAGAATCCAACATTATAATGACGAGACATCTATCAAAATTGTATGTAAAATATCATATCTGGTTTCTCCCTCACATAATCACCATTCATTATAACGTATGTAAAAACTCTTGAATGAATTGTCAGAAATTTATAATTAGCCTACTTTCTAAGAAAATGATACTTTCTCCTTGTATTAGTTGGCATGTTTTAATTTTGAAATCATGTTAGATTTGTTTCAATACACTTGTATATTTTTTTTTTTTTGAAGGAAAGATAGAGCTTTTATTACTTAATTTAAAGCAAATCCATTTCCGCCAGAGACAAGATGCCTTGGGGAAAGGAGGATAAACGTACAAGTTCCACATTCTCACCCGTTTCCCATCGAGCTATGAGATGAGCCATGGTATTACATGAACGTTTAATATGTGAAAAAGTACAAAACTCAAACTTAGCTCTATCAATACAAATATCATCATAAACTGAATATATGGGTGAACGACCATGCTCCTTCGAATTCACTGCCTTTATCACATTGATAGCATCCGATTCCACCATAATTCGGGAATACCCCAGTCTATGAGCCAGCATTATAGCATAGCGCACTGCCATGGCTTCTACCACTTCCGGAGCTGCGATTGCAGCCTTTCTCTTCGCTGCAGCCACAATTCTACCCTCGGCATCCCTACAAACCACCCCAAGCCCAGCCATACCAACACTAGGTACATGTGCATCGACATTAATTTTAATGGTACCTGTTGGGGGGCAGCTCCAGCTCGCAATGCTACTCAGTGTACCCGCATTTGAGACTCTATGAAACACACACTTTGCATAGGAATGGTAATCATGAACCATTCTACAATACCCAGCCGCAAGGAGCACCACATTTGGTCTTTCATTCTCAAATATGATGAGATTCCTACATCGCCAAGCAGCCCACAATAATGCCGCCATCGAACTAAGAGTCTCCCCGTCAAACTTTCTATATAGCCATGCCCATACCGCAGCGAAGGAGTGATTAGGGAGCATCTGTCAAGTTTGATTTTAGCTCACTATGCTCCCAAATGGCAGCAGCCGCATCACATTCCACCAAGGCGTGCCAAATTGTCTCGACATGGTGACCACAAATCTGGCAGGAGGCTTCATTAATTATGTGACGTTGCACAAGTCGACTCTTGACAGCAAGATTACCCTTCACAGCATTCCATAGAAAATGCAGGAGCTTTGGTGGCCCCCGGGTTCTCCAAACCATTTTCCAGACTTCATCCTCGGGCATCCCGGCTAGCTCACTCCCTTCACCACCTTTTGCCAGCCAGTACCCCGAGCGCACCGAGTATAGACCCGCCTTTGCTTGCCACCAAAATACACCATCCCCTTGTCTGGAGAAAGGCAGGGGTGTTGCAAGAATTTTTGCCCGAATATCCTCTCCCACCAAAGAACACACCTTGGCAGGATCCCACTCACGGCCACCATCCAGAAATAGCTCACGCACCAACATATTCTCATCAGCACCCATAGGCATTGTCAGCATCAAAGGCTTCCCCTCTTGCATTACCCACGGATCCTTCCAAGTCCGAATGCTATTCCCATCACCAACTCTCCATGCTAGTCCATCTCGCAATAAACCCTTTGCACCCCACATACTTCTCCAAGTATAACTTGGATCATAACCCCTAAGGGCTTCAATAACGTTCGAATTCTTAAAATAGCGAGCTTTAAGAATTTTGTGGAGCAATGTAGAGTCGTTTGTGAGTAGACTCCAATTTTGTTTTGCAAGGAGCGCTTGGTTGAAGCATTTGAGATCCCGAAAACCCATCCCACCTTTTGCCTTTGGCATACACAATTTTTCCCATCCTTGCCAGTGAAGTTTTCTCTCATTTTCTCTACCAAAATCGGCATAATAAGGTGTGAATCTCATCAATCAAACCATCCGGGATCTTAAAAACACTCATCATGTATGTTGGGATAGCTTGAGCAACGACCTTAATCAACACTTCCTTTCCCGGCTTTGAGAGTAGTCGTTCCTTCCACCCATTCAATTTCTTCCATATTCTTTCCTTCAAACAAGCAAAAATTGCCTTTTTTATTTACCTATCATAGTTGGTAAACCTAAATACTTCTCATGTCTCTCCACTTCACGAACGCCCAAGGTGTCAATAATATCCTTCCTCCTTTCGCAGTGACAGATTTGCTAAATGCAACCTCCGTCTTACTCAAATTAACTTTCTGACCAGATGCTCTCTCATATGAACTGATAATATCAGCTATTTTCGAACATTCCTGCAGAGTAGCTTTTGCAAAGAGAATACTATCATCGGCAAAAAATAAGTGAGATACTCTCGGGGCAGAGTAGCTTACTCTAGCCCCGCTAATTTTCTTCTCCCGTGCTGCTTTCGTTATCATCCCTGAAAAAGCATCAGCACACAATAGAAACAAATATGGCGAATTGGATCCCCTTGACGAAGACCTCTAGACGGAATCACAGAGCCCGAAATTTCACCATTCACCTTGAAAGAAAAAGAGGCACTCGAAAGACAATCCATCACTTTCCGAATCCAACCATTGTAGAACCCCATCTTATTCATAACTCTCTCTAGAAAACACCATTCAACACGATCATAAGCTTTTGTCATATCAAGCTTAAGAGCCACCGTACCATCTCTCCCTTCCCCCCTTCTCTTCATCGAGTGAAAAATCTCAAAAGCAATAAGGGCATTATCAGTAATCAAGCGACCCGGGATAAAAGCACTCTGGTTAACAGAAATAATATCATTGAGGAAAGGCTTTAGCTTATTTGCTAAAGTCTTTGATATTATTTTGTATATTTCAATACACTTGTATATTATTTAATTAAATACAAAGTTTAAACATTTATACTGTGCACTATTTTCATAATGATAAAAAAATTTTGATGTTGAATTTCTCAAGTTAAAATAACTTGAGTCGTCAACAATTCTAATAGCATCCATTGGTATTAAATTGTATTCGAGTAGCACCAATAAAATTTAAAGTCTAATTTCTACATATGTTGATACTAATGAAGAAGTATTTTGCTACTAATAGAGAAACCAATTATGCACGCACAACTTAATACTCCATACTTCATATATACAAGCTAAGTGTTAGGAGAGAAGTATTTTTTTTTTTTTTTCTAAGTGTTACAAGAGTAGTTAATGACTCAAGTTTTTAGTGATTGAGAAATCCAAATCCTCCTAGAAATAGAATGTCAAAATGAATTAAATTCAAACATGAACCACCAAATTAAAGTGTTAATAATAAAAAGTACTCCACCTCGTAATAAATATAGAAGTAATATGACTAATATCTGAAATTTTTAAATTTGCCCTTTTTATCAAATAGTGAAGTTTTAAAACAGTACTTTGTATTTGAAAGTTACACTTCAAATTCATGAACTTAGTGGTTTTTAGAAGGGATCTTTTTCTTTATTTATACTCAATTTTAGATCACTTTAATTAAGGAATCACTTTTCAAGATAATAAAGAGTTATCCCATAATTTTTATTTAAAACATGATTTGCGTGTGAAAAACACAATATAATCATTAATGGAAGGAGGATCATTCTCTCTCTCTCTCAAAAAAAAAAAAAAAAAGGGGGGGGGGGGGGGAGGAGGATTATAAGGCTTTGTTGTCCAATAATGTAGCTGTTGGAGTAATTTGGTCCGTTACAACTATCAAATTACTGTGTATATAATCATTTAAAATTAGCTTATTAATGAAGGAATTTGTCACTTTGACATCCTTTTCCAAGATCATGATTCATGAACCTTGAAAAAAATATTAGATCCAGTAATCTAGTACGGAGTATATGCAATGAGTATATATCATATAAGACTAATCCAAGACCAAAGTGCATGCTTAATTATTTTTGTGTAACTAAAAATCATGCACTCCTTATTTTAAAATAAATAAATAAATAAAAAAATAAATAAAAATATAAATAAAAATCATGCACTCTCTGAGGACTAAGGTGGAGGGATTATATGTTCATACTCTATCCTATCAAAGATATGGATTATATGTTCATACTCTATCCTATCAAAGATATAATCGTTTTGACTACGCTGTATAGAATTCAATACATACAGTTGGAGAAGTGTTCAGTAAATAATTTCACCTTAATCAAGCCTCATTCCTTGTTTCACATCTATTACTCTATAGTCTATTCAAAATAAGAGTTTGTTTTTTGTTTGTTTGTTTTAAAGAAATTTGTCTTCCAAAACTTACCTTTTTAATTATCAATAATTTATAAAACAGAGTTGCATGACCCGGGTTTAATCTAGTTTTCATACATGTATTATATATTACTTACTCAATGTACACATGTTTCACCTTAGTTGTGCTTCTCTTCCGGCTGTGCCAAGAAGGAGGAGAAAGTGAGAAGGTTCTAAGTTTATATCGCCTTTTATTAGCGATTGTCATACGAAAGGACAGAGTTAGAATATTGTTGTGATTTTGCTTAAAGTTTCTCATGGACGATGATATATAAAAATCACCTATGATTTGTAAATCATGGATTATACTCAATAATAATAAAAATTGTCCAACGATGAGATCTTGGTCATAAGTTTAAATCTCTCCACCTCCATATGTAATTCACTAATTTGTATTGCCGTATTCACATTATTAAAAAAAAAAAATAATAAAAAAAAAAAAAAAAAAAAAAACCCTATATTGCTGTTGGGACATTATTAATTGTAGTAAACATTTAATGATACCTTTATTTTCTTAAAATCAATTTCTATGCAACCTCTCAGTTAATATGGGAGTATAAGTTAATGTCTAAAATGGTTAGTAGTAAATGTTTAGGCCCATCGAGCTATGGGTTTTTCTTAGTTGGTACTTGGTTATTGGCATTAAGATTCTCCTAAAGTCCAGACCCAAAATTTGAGTAAAATCTGTATTTGGTTATTGGCATTAAGGGTTGGAGAATTGATCCTTGTTTAGCTTTGATTCAAGTTTCTAGATTCTTACGGTTAAATTCCCGACAAAATAGGGAGAAGAGAGAATGGAATGACTTGATTATTATTTAAGAACAGGTTGAGTATTTATACAAAACCTAAGCTCATAAGATAGAAAACAATCTTCCTAAAAGATATACGTCTAATCATAAACCCTAAAGATATATTCTCAAAATAATATCTTAACATAAAATAAACCTAAATATATTATTCTCTTAAATGATATTTACGGAAAATATATCACACATATATTTTCCGATATCTCATATGTCTAACAATTCCAGAAAGTCTAATAATGCATAGGTGTTCTATGAGGCGCTACGTTTGGCAAAAATTTACATACCTCACTATCTTTCTTTTACAATTTTTTAATATTTTAATTAACACACTTACCTCTTATTTTATTTAAATCAATTAAATTGCCAAAAATTATGTATCGGTTAAACTGTAATACTTAAAAAACACGGAGGGAGCAATATGATATTGTAGGTCTAAATATTTTAGTATTTTACTTCTACGATCGTATTTAAAATTTAGTGATATGATATGATAAGATGAAAATAGATAAAAATATTATTAAAAATAAAAATAAAATAGATAGATAAAAATAAAATAAAATAAGAATTAAAATAGCATTATCATAGATTTTTTTTTTTTAAAAAAGCATTAAGATAAACACAGTATTTCTTTAAAAAAAAATAATAATAAATAAATAAAAGATAAACAGAGTAT